AGGTCGATGCCGATAGCTTTGCAGTTGGACATGGCTGAGGTGAGAGTAGATTGGAAGTTTGGAAGTTTGGAAGCAGGAATATTCAACGAGTGAATCTGAAACAGCGGCGAAATCCAGCGCTTATATACTATTTTTGAGGATTTCTCGAATCTTCACGATGTTTCCAGACCCTTCTAGAACCCCTCGCTCGTTTTTCTCTCTGTTCCTCTCTCTCTCTACCTCGCTCTCTTTGTTCTCTGCTCGTCTGGCGTCTCCGCTGCCCTAGACCATTGTCTCGCTTTTCCTCTCGCCGCCTGGTGTCTCTCTCCTCTCGCCTTGTAGATGTTTCTCAGTTTTTCTAGGACCGTCGAGAATCATCTGGAAAATTCTAGAAGAATTTGGCTTTTCGCTGTTTTCTTGATGTGTTTTCGAAATTTCGCGCAATTTTTGAGATTTAAGGTTCTTTTAAGTTTCATTATTATTTAATTTTTTTCCTTTTTTTCCTGGCACGTAGTTATAAGTCTTATTTTCTTTTTTTGCTTCGTTTTTTTAGTATTCAGAGTGTTCCAGCGGAAGTTTTGCAATTAAATTTACTTCTTTTTGTTAGATTTTTTTAATGAATGGTGTAATTTCAAGTCAGAATCTTGAAATTCTTGTTTTCAAAAAGGGATAACATGAAGAATAACAAGTTTTGCTTTTTTTAATTCTAAATGAGCTAAAAATCGCTTCTTTCGTATCAAAAAAATAGATGAAAAAAATCTTTCGTAACATAAAGGAAAAATCAGGAAAAGTTTGCGAATTTTTTTGAAAAAAATTACATTTTCCTATCAACGTCCGCCTTCTTCTTTCAAGCCAGTAAAAATAATCCATGTTTTCAGTACCCATGTTCACTTGGCCAGCGATTGTATGGAGCGCTATAGAGCCGGTTTGGACGCTTTGTGTGATCTGGAGCAGGTTTACAAAAATATATTGTTTTTTTAAAGTTTTTTTGAAAAATTTTTAAAGGAGCATGAACAGTTTTTGAAATGGTTTCAAAGAGTATGGAAAAATTAAAAAAATGATCTCAATTTCTCCATTTTTTTGGTAGGCTCAGAAAGGCTCCTGCTCCTTTAAAATTTCAAACAAAGGGTTTTCTAAAGATGTAGAATTAAATGGAAAAGTTGAAAAATATAACTAAATTTGTTTAGGACCTGAGCATCGGTTACGATTCGAAAGGAAATCGGCTAAAAGAGCCAATCAATCGAGTGATTCCATTTCTAACCGACCCCCGAATCAGCCTGGATAATCGCCTACGGCTCATCTTGTTGTATGCGCTTTTTGAGAATGGTTATCTGATTTGATAAATCGATAAAATAATTTGAAAATGTAGGAATCTCTTCCGAGTCTATGGTGAAGCTCCTGGCCCACGCCGAAATTCCCTTCCATGATCGGAGCATTTTTACGAATGCCGCCAGGCTTGGCGTCGACCTCGTTGTTGAGGTTTCCATTCTTTTTTGTATGTAAATTTGAGTCTTTTTGTAAAACCATGCTTTCAACAAGTTCGTTACAGAGTTTTGTGAATTAATCTTTATTTTTCCTAGTTTTTTTAAAAAAATATTTTTTTCGATATTTCTTTGATATAACACTCAGACATTGGTAACGCAAAACTTGCGCGAATCGAAAAAGTCTTGGCATTTTTTGTGACCACTTTAGTAGCGTCAGCGCTCTTAAGTGATCCCTAGACTTTCTCAAAAAAGTTACCGAGGCCTGAGTATTCTACCTGGCTTCCAAAAATATTTCTCGGGAGCTCCGCAAAGCTACCGAAGAACACCACTTGAAAACTTTTAAAAAAAGCCTGAATTTAAACGTTTCGAGACAAACGGGCACAAAGACGACCTAAGATTGCACTACATGAAGAAAATTCATATTATAATGTAGAACGAGATAGAAAGACCCAGTTACAGGGTGCGCAATAAGTATTGAAACGCGTTTGAAACGTTATAACTTTCTCGAAAATCAACCAAACACCACCAAACTTGGAACAAATTTCATTCATACAATATAGAAACAAAATTCAAGAATAGTTTTCAAAACGTCTTCCTTTAGCTTTGATAACGGCCTTCAGTCTCTTCGGATACGCATCGATCACGGCACGAAGGTAGTCGTCGTCGATTTCGTCCCATTTCTTGATGAGCGCGGTCTTCAGAGCTTTGATACTTGGGTAGTTCTTAGAAGAGACCTTCTCGGTCAGATATATCCACACGGCATAGTCCATCGGGTTGAGGTCGTGCGAGGAAGCAGGCCAATCAGCAGCCGAGATGAACTCGGAAAATTGGCGCGATACCACTCTTGAGTCCCTTTGGCGCGATGAGCGGGGACGCCGTCTTGCTGGAAGGTCCATGGTCGGTTTCCGTAGTGAGAATTGGCTCAGGGCAACACCCTCAACTTTAAATTCTACTCCCAGTAGTATATTTGGTTCACTTTGACTTCAGGATCCACAAAAATCAGCGGAGTTTTGCCGTCAGCGGTAATTCCGGCAAAAACCATCACGGAAGCCGGATGCGAAGTTTTATTCAGAATTTTTTTTTTTCACAGGCACTCTGATAGTCAGTAGCGATGATCCAATGATTTTGGCCTCCTTGTTCGCCTCCACAGTGAAGATTTTCTCGTCGGTAAATAGCGTCGTCAGATGCGAGCCATCTTTCGTGCCAGCGAGCAGCTTTCGAGCCTTTTTCATCCGGAATGTCTTGTTTTTTTGACTGAGGAAGGCTCCTTTCTGCATACGGTAGGGAATCATCTTCAGCTTGTCCTTGACAATAGTTCTCATCGATTCTCGACTCATTTCGTATTCTTTTGACATCTTTCTCATGCTTCTTCCCGGAGTGCGTCTGATTTTCTCTCGAACGGCTTTGACTGCTTCTGGGGTCGTGACGGTGACTGGAAATCCCCTTCTTTGCATGTCATCTGAAGTACCGAGACGCCGATAGCGTTGTGCAGTTCGAAAAACGAGAACACGAGACACTTTCAGCTTTTTAACGATCTCTGAATTCGTCATTCCGTTTTTGACACAATCAATGATTGCGGTACGTTACGGAGATGGGGCCACCATTACCTGAAAACTGAAAAGTATGAGCTGTAACTTCAAACACATGATAAGTGAGCATGAATAAACGAAATAAACAGAAAAGTTCAAAGGCCAGTCCATTGTGCAAAAAGCAGCGATCAAACAAAAAACGGTTTCAATATTTATTGCGCACCCTGTAGATTGTATAAAAAGAGTGAATCGATCAGAGATAACATGAGACGAGAGTTATAACATAGGTCTCTGAATGGAGAATAAATAAAGTGACGAAACATGAGGTTTTCTCAACTGATTAGTTAACAAGTTGAAAATCGAGCAAAAATAGGTAACTTTTTTTTCACCTTACCTTCTTGGTATTGAAGCTTATTTTTATATCTTGTTTTTTGAAAAGTTTTGTGAATCAACTTTTCCTCCCGAAGCTCAGGAAAGTTCAGAGAGTGTAAATTTGATGCCTTAATTGAGTAGGTGAAAGTTTTGCGCGGGTTTGCGAAATACTCATGCTGGAAGTGATAAATAAAAGTAGAAAAAAAGGATACCTCTTGTGAACTCCTCTACGACATCGCATGGGGAACTTTCCGACGGCCACTTTTCCTCCGAATCTTTTTCCGACTTTTTTCTCGATGAACTTTCCGTTTTGAATCATCATATATGAAGTAGGTGGTTTATTCATGATTAAAAACACAAATAAATAGAAAAAAATTATGTTAATAGATATTTTATAAACCGAAAAAAATATAAGGGAAAAAGTCGGAAAAAGATTCGGCGGAAAAGTGGCCGTCAAAAAGTTTCCTAGTGATACGAAAAAATCGGAAAAGTCGCCGTTCGATTTTTTGCTGGGCTTTTTTTCATACCACCGGATTTTTAACTTCAAAGCACCTTCCAGGAAGGCCGGCCGCGATTCAGCCTCCCTCCGAGAAGGCCTCGAACTCAAGAATCGGCCTACACCAGCGCTCGTTGGGTGCCGCGAATCAAGGATTTGATGGAGGACGCGATTCACGAAAACCTCAGCCTCGACCATTTCCCCTACGTCGTCCAAAGAGACCCAGTTTCCGAGCGAACGTGAGGATCAGACTTGAAAATTTCGGGAAAAACAAGAGTTGAAATGAGGCTCAGAGAAAAAAAAATAAGCAAGGATCAGAATCGATAAATCCTCAAAAATTCCTAGTTTCAAGTTCATACATCGGCTGGATCCCACCCCAACTTTTTGTGCGCAAAAAAAGGCCGCGTTTTCGGAAGGGCGGGGGGAGGTGGTAGGCCGTCACATCGGAGTGGGAAGTTTTGAGATTTAGGTTTGAATTTAGTATAGAAGAAAAAAGTCAAATGAACCGAAATCTATCATTTTTCTTCCCAGAAGCAATTTTCAAGGAATTTGTTTCGCCAGATTTTACAAAACTTGATATTTTTTATTCACAGTTAGACTAACCAGAATTGTATAGAGTTTACTTTTTTGCTTCTCTCTTCGTTTCATTTTTCTTACTAACTTTTGTCCTTTAATAAAGTGAATAGAAAAAATATATAACCAGTCAGCGAATCGAGAATAAATAAACTAAGCTCTCCGACTTATATTGTAATACGAATTTTTAAGCTACTTTAGTGATTTTTTCCCGATTTTTTACCATTATGCAGTTGATTCCGGATTTTTCAATCAATCAAAATGTTTTATTTCTCACACACATACTAAAGTTCACGAAATAGATATAAGGCGAATTTGGGAACCATAATTTCGACGTTTCTTTCTAGAATCGCCAGATCCGCCCGATTCGGAAGCCTAGAGCGATCTGCCTCAAGAGAAGCCCCAAAGACAGAAGTCCTGCCGAGGCTGATCGTTTTCGTCGTCGGCGGGATGAGCCACTCGGAGATGAGAAGCGCCTACGAGGTCATGGCCGCCAATTCCTGGGACGTCATCATCGGCGCCGAGCAGATCATCACGCCGACAAAGTTCTTGGATAATCTCCGATCCCTTTCCGAACCCTTTGAACCGGCTGTCAATCCCGTCGGATTGAATTCCTATCCTTTCAAGAGGGCCGAAAGCCTCGAGCCGTTGGTTTAGTATGCAGAAGTTGTACTCAAAAGTTTGAAAATTGTATTCTCCTCACTTTTTTTTTCCAATGCTCCGAGATTGGGACATTTCTGAGGCTTTGGAGCATTTTTACTTCACTTTTTTCACTAAAAGAGTTCTTGGAACTTCTTCGATTTCTTTCTGAACTTTAAAAAATTTATAGAAGGCTGTTAATTTGGTCTGATTGGACCCTATTTTCTCAGAATGACTAAAAGCCTGGAGCCGTTGGTTTAGTATGAAGAAGTTGTACCCAAATGTTTGAAAATTGTATTTTTTTCTGTCGAAAAACTCACTTTTTTTCCAATGCTCCGAGACTGGAACATTTCTGAGGCTTTGGAGCATTTTTACTTCATTATTTTCCCAAAATAGTTTTTCGGAACTTCTTCGATTTCTTTCTGAACTTTAAAAAAATATATAAAAAGGCGCTTAATTCTTTCGGCCTGGACCCTTTCTTCTCAGAAAGGCCAAAAGCCTGGAGCCGTTGGTTTAGTATGAAAATAGGTGTTAGAAGGCCCAAAATACTTATTTTATTGGAGGAAACCGAAGATTATTCGAGATTAAGAGCATTTGTTCATGAGGCGTAAAAAAATACTCCAAAAAATGCGAACTTCTCTCTAATTTGGAGCAGTTTGCTCGATTGTTCTTACTGAAAAGGCTCTCTTTCCGAACCTCTGGACCTTTTTGATAGTTCTTAAAATCCGCTTCATCGAAGGAATAATTGCCTCGATAGTTTTTTTTTTCCCTCATTCCAAGATCTTCTCTTTGCCAAACTCATCATAATAATGTACATTATTTTTTCATTAACTTGATTTTTGAAAAAAAATTCTTTCTCACTCTAACGTAAAAGGATACAATGATGCCATTTTCCTTCAAGAATCTCCTCCGTCATTTTTTTTTTCTTGGAATTAACTTCTTTTCTACGTGTTCCTTTTCACAGGAAATAAACTTTTCTTGATCCTGCGTCGGTTTTTATTCGGAATTCGAGTCTGATTGGCCTATTTCCATCATTTGTTTGTACCAGCGACGGTTGGTATGCATTGCTGTGCGTTTTCAAGTGTATTTTGATGATTTTGTGTTGTTTTTTTCGTTTCAGTGTATGCTTTTGGATCGGCGGCAGCGTTGGCTGTGGCTGTGACGGCCAATTGTGCCGTTGGCGATCGGCAGAATGTTCAAAGGTTAAAATTCGATTTGGTAATAATTCGGGTCCTGGGTGGATTAGAAGAGCTGAGAAACTTCTTGGAACAAAAATGAGCTCTAGAATCTTCTTTTTGGGGTGGTTTGGACTTTGTCCGTTATTAAAGGCGCATGTATGGGGACAGGGCGCGCGCTTCGAGCGGAAGGATTCTGTAGCTTGGAGAAAGATGCTACGACAAAATCTCAAGTCCACAATTCTTGAGAACCATCTGTCTGTAAGCCTGTGTACACACATCTCAAAAACCCACCACAATGAGGTATGACGGCGTTTTTGTTAGTGGGCGGAGTCAAAATATCCGCCGTTCCCACCTGACGTCATGGGAACGACAGAGATTTCGGCTCTGAAAGTGTAAATAACAGGGCATATTAAAGGCGCAGGCCGCCGTATTGCCAGAGGTCTTTGAGACGAATCGAAATATTTTCTACATAAACGCCATTTTCTGCGCAAAAGAGGCGCAGTGCATGCACACGACACACGAAACTTCACGGAGAAAAAGTAGGCGTGGCGTCGTCGAAAAAACGCCGTGGTGTATAGTATGTTCAGATTTTGAATGTCAAATAGAATGACGTCATTTGAAAACGCTCTCTGATTGGTTTATCGCGCCATTAGGGGCGGAGCTTGAGCGACGACTTGACATTCAAAATCTGAACAGACTATACGTACACAGGCTTACGGTCCTCAAGATTTGCGAACCCGAGCTTTTGTCGTACCATCTGCAGAAAAGCTGGCATGAAACAGGCTATACATTTTCTGACCTTCTGCCTTTCAGAGAGCGCAAACTGAGCAGAGCGAGTCACACGGCCGTCGAGAAACGACATTCTGAGCCGCGGGTCGTCAGACCTCCGACCAAGCCGAAACATGATAGCCCTGGTTTTGAAAATAAACAGATCACCCAACAAAAAGTATTTTCAGAACGCTCGAAAAAAGCGAAAATCTTCAAGGATTCTTCGAGGTTTAGCATATAATAGGGGGAAAGTGAAAACTTCACTTTTTATAGCAAAAAAGACAGAAAAGAGACGAGAAAGCCGAGAAGAGAGGAATCGGACCGCAGCAAGAGCGATTCGGACAGGAGGGAAAGACGAAGGGGATCTTCCCGGGCTGTCGCGTCGGCTTTCAAGGAGGACAGGAATAGGTTGGGCCCTTTTCCGGGGTTTCAAATCGTTTGGATGAATATTTATCATATAGCTGATTCACAACTGGCTTGAGCCCTCAAAAAATGGGTCCTGACACGGTAATAAAAGAGACAGTGCCTGGTTGGTAGAGAGCGCAGACAGGCCACGCCCCCTTAGCGCCCCAAGCTAGCCGTGAATCGGCTATATTTATCATTGATGAGTTCGGAAAAGGCTCCATAGAAATTTTCCCTTCAGGGTGTCAAAGGTTCTTTTTTGCTGCCTTTTTGCGCCATTTCATCGGCTCTTATGCACCATTTTTGCTGCCTCTTCCATTCCAGAATCCTTGAATTTTTCAAAAATCCGTTGACGAATTTGGTAACTCTATATGATCTCAATTCCGAATATTTTCCACTTTTCATAGTTTATCGTTCACTCGACCAATTTTCAGCAAGAAGTCTTCCAAGTCGCGGAAATCCACCAAATCGGCCAAGTCTTACCATCGAAGCCCTGAGAAGAGCTACAAAGAAGCCCGGACCCAAGGATCCCGCGAATATGACGACGACTATCGTTCCCGGAAATCTGGCAAAAGCGCAAAGTCGGGGAAAAACACTCCGGGTAGTACCAAGTCCGGCAAAAAGTCGAAAATCTCCCCGGCCGCCCAGAAGAAATTGGAGAAGCAAGAGTCGAAGGTGATTAAGAAATCGCGTATTCAGGGATTCCAGAGTGGTTCCTACAGGGGTTGAGGGGGAAACAGCCTTATAGGGCCCAAAAAGTGGTCCCTATAGGGGTTTAGGGTCTGTCCCTTTTACCCCCGTAGCTTAAGTGGTCCCTATAGGGGTTAGAGGAGAGACAGTCTTATTGGGGCCGAAAAAGTTGTCCCCATAGGGTTTTAGGGTCTGACCCTTTTACCACTTTAGCTTGAGTGGTCCCTATAGGGGTTAAGGGGGAAACAGCCCCATGGGGGCCAAAAAAGTTGTCCCTAGCTTAAGTGATCTTTCAACTTCATTTACGATGAAGGGGTTTTTTTTTCTCAGAAACCAGCTATATCCTCTGAAATCCGTGAGTAACTTGAACTGGTCCATTTTCGAATTTTTCCTTAACGAAGTGAAAATTTACTTTCTCTAGAAAGAGGCCAGAGACCAGCTGCAAAGCGCCGCCCTCAAGATCAAGCAGGACGAAGTTCTGAGCAAGGAAAAGTCGAAAAAAGGCGAAATCGAGCTGAAAGACAAGGCTCATGTCATGGAGATCGAGCGCAAGGAGAACGAGAAACTCATGAAGTTGGAGCGGAAAAGGATGGAGGCTAAGTTGAAGGAGGAACGGCTCGTCAAGGAGATGGAGCTGAAGCAGGAGGAGAAGATGATGAAGTTGGAGAGGAAACGAAAAGAAAAAGAGATGGCCAGGCAGATAAAAGAGCGGGAGAGAGAGGAGAAGCAGAGAGAGAAGGAGATGAAGAAGGAGAAGGAGAGAGAGGAGAAGAAAAGGTGAGGGTTTTTCTTATATGTCATACTAAAAATGGCAAAAACCAACTAGGCATAGGATAGGATTCAAACCTTGGATACCAGATTGACAGACGAGACTCTTAGCCGTTTTGAAGTTCCACGAGGCTTTCTGGAGTTTATTAGTCATTATTTATCTTGGTTACTTCCCTATAGTCCATTTTTCGCTACTTGAAAGGGCGGGACTTCTCTGCGCCCTCCTCGTCTCTCGACGTCTCTCTCATGTTTACGTGCTTTTTCCATGTTTCTCTGACCTCGCAGATGAGGGAACAGAGAGACGCAGACACGCAAAAACTGTGAAATCGCGGCGAATTAAGTATATTTTTTTGTGTGGGGTGTTTAAAGGAGCATGGATGATTTCCATAAAGGTCTCTCTAAAATCGGATTTAAGCATCAAAATCAAGTGCAAATCAATTTTTTTTTACGTAGATTCAATTTCGATGCTTTTTCGATACCTATTTGCTCATTATACGCAGTGGACCTGTACTCTGAGAGTTGTGACGTCATTTCGTATCATTTTATGACGTCATTTGCTCCAAAATAAGGTTAAAAATGACGTCAGACCTTTTCTACGGCCAAGTTTGGTATGTAGATGATTGATATAATATAAAACCTTCTCAAACCTCAGGGAGAGGTGGATTTGAAAAATATAAATTGATCAACTTCTGAATGAGACTAGGTTCACTAGAGGCAGTTTTTCACGCTGATTCCATATCTGGTCTTAGAATTTGTCACAGACGTCTGTGGAAAAAGTCCTCTCAGAATGAATTTTTTTGACTGATCTGGATTTTTACAAGTCATTTTGGACCTCTTACTCTGAAGAAAAAATGGCAATCGGACAGTAGAAATGGGGTTTTTTAAATGAATGCTCTATTTTTTAATCATCTTTCAAGCTAGAAAAGGTACAGGAGTTTTTATTTTTCCAAAATCAATTGAGAAAAAGTATTTTGAAAAAAGTTTCTTGTTGAGGGTCAGGTGTGACCATGTATGTTTGAAAATTTAAATTTTTCGTTTTTCAGCCGCAAAGCCGCCAAAACTGCCTCGACCTCGAAAAGGTGATAGTTTATTCAAAAAAAATTTTAACTGAAAAAATTTTCCAGTCATGATAAAAACTGAGTCGACTGCAAAGACGTCCAGAGAATCGTCAGTTTTTTTGAAAAAGTTCGAAAAAACCAGTCATTTTCAGGCTGGACAGTGAGGCGAAGTTCAATGCTCTCACGTGGGTTTTCCACCCTTTTTGAGAATTTCCCCCATTAATTTGTCAAATTTGTATTTTTTGTTGGATCAGCCGCGTTTTTTCAAAAAAAAAAACATCCCTAAAACCCTTGGAATATGAATTTTTAGGACCCAAACTGCAAATACTCATTCGCCGGCCACGTTCACCCCAACCACTACGGGCGCTCCTTCGAACACACAGTAATATTCTCGAAAAAAAATTGTTCTTTGTTTTTAAGCTTCAAGTTTACTGTATAACAAATTCGCTAGGATTTGAAAAATTTCCGGTCGCATTTGGAATGGCTTGAAGCGCTGCGGATCAAGTTATACGACTACCAAATTTGATACAGATCCGCGTAAACCGCCTCCAAGTCGGATGCAATTTTTAGGAATTCTGAGCGTTTGGCCATTCTCCATGCGACCAATTTTTGATTCACATTAGCTTAAAGCGCTTTAAATTTGAAAGTCTCGACTTTTTTGCCCTAAACGAAAGATTTTTATTTTGTAAAACTGGAATCGACAAGTTCAAAACGACTTGAAGTTCAATTGATCGCATTTGGAATGGCTTGAAGCGTTGCGGATCGAGTTGAAAGGCTGCCTATTTTGATACAGATCCGCGTAAACCGCCTCCAAGTCGGATGCAATTTTTAGGAATTCTGAGCGTTTGGCCATTCTCCATGCGACCAATTTTTGGTTCACATTAGCTTATAGCGCTTTGAATTTGAAAATCTCGGCATTTTTGCCTTGGAAAAGAATTTTGCTTTGTAAAACTGGAATCAAAAAATTTTCATCGACTTGAAGTTCAATTGATCGCATTTGGAATGGCTCGGAGCGTTGCGGTCGCGCTGCGTAGCAAGTTATAAGGCTGTCAATTTTGATACAGATGCGCGCAAACCGTCTCCAAGTCGGATGCGATCTCAAAAAGACCGCTTCGCAGCCGCCACGCGTTTGGCTAGAGACCGCAGAGCCACGCCCCTTTTTGCGATGGTGAAATGCACTGGTTTTTTAGATTTCGTGTTTGATTTTTTCGTAAAAGCGCAATACTGAAACAAACACAGAGAAACTTGGTGGAAACATAGAGAAAACTCTCCTCTTTAATCTGATATACTTTTCACCGGATTTTCGAAGCGTTTTAGCGGAGTGTCGTACAAAAAACCAAAACTACTTTTTTTTCTTCGGGTTTTTTTAACCTAGTTCCATGTCGTTGGCGCCTTTTTTTATTTTCGAATTCGATTCTTAAGTGAAAAAAATCTTTTAAAAACAAAAAAATTAAAATTTTTACGGTGCCTAATCTTCGTGAGGCCGCGCAAAGTTGAAAAATGTTGTACTCGGTTTTCGAGAGCGGTTAAGTAAAAATTTTTTTATTTTTAACTTGTGGATTAAATTGTAACTAAAAATGTTATTAGTATAAAACTTATTGCGAAAACTTTGTTTTCTGAGAAAAAAATAGACAGTGAAAATTTCGAAATTTATTTTAACATGGTTAGATGTCGTTGGCGCCTTTTTTTATTTCTTAAATATCAGCGTATCTCAATTTTCAATCAATTAAAAAAATAAAATAAAAATTTTAGCGGTGCCTAAAAGTTTAATCATTGTTAACTTGAAGCCAACGTTTAAAATAACAAAAAACAACGAAAAAGGAAGCATTTTGAACTGAATCTCTATGAATAAATTATTTTTAGGTGGTCCGAACACACGTGACTAATAATTGTTCAACTATCATAACTTTTTTTAAAACAAGATAGTCGGTAAATGCTGTACTTTGAGGTGAAGTGGTGTATAGCGCGAACGCCTCTTATCTCCGAGGGATGGACGTGGAGCAGCGCAAGTGCGCTTGCATGAAGTTTTGATATCGCGAGTTCAATTCTCGCAGCGGCCATCAAGAAAAAAATAGCTTTTCTTTTTCAAACTTGTGGTTTTTATACCGTTTTAATAACTTATTACGACTTTGAAAACCGGAATAAACTACTAAAAAAATTTAAATCCGATATGAAAAACACAATGAACGACCAAAAAGTGTAAAATCTAAACTTTCAGTACTAAATTTCGCGACTTTTTTTCACTACTGTTTTGACCATAACTTTTTCTCAACCTTTTTCGAAAAAAACTAAACTGTTTTGAATAGTAAATTAGAGCAGCTATCCAACCATAGTAATATTGAAGTTCGAACAATTTTTTGAAAATTCGTCTGCGGTCCCTACGTTTGGCCATTCCCCACGCGGCCGTTTTCTGATTCAAATCAGTTTACTGCAATCAACATTTGGAACATTTGAAATGTATTAGGATAGGCTTGAAGCGTTTTGAATCAGGCTATAAGACGGCTGGTTTTTATAGCTATGAGATCGGGTGTAATTTTATGGGGGCCGCTGCGCTTTTGGCCATTCCCCCTGCGACCAGCTTTAAGATTGAAAATTCAAGCATTTTAGCCCTAAATGGCAGTTTTTTGTATGTAAATTAGAATGGTCTCCGTTTTCCAGTACCCAATCGCCAGCCACCTTCACTCCGATCACTACGAAGGACCCTTCGAACAAAAAAAGTGACTTTTTTTCGAAGAAATTAATTTTGAATGGGTTTATCGGACAAAACCAAGACCCTTTCAATACTTTTTTTGATCCATTAACCGTTTAATCGAATCGAATTATTATCTTTTTTTCTGTATAGGTCGACGAAAACTGACCCGAGACGCGACCGTGAGTCGTCATTAAAGTCGAGGTTTTTTTCATGTAAAAAATCGGAAATTATTTTTTTTTTTAGTGTTATGACAAAAAAGAGTGATCTGAAAACGGCGGCTGAGGATGATACGCAGAAAAGGTGAGAAAAAGGCTTTAAAAAGGAGTTTTTCGAGTCGAAAAGTGAAGTGAATTGAATGTTTCGGATTTCGAGACCAGTTGAATCACGGTGGAAGAAAATGCCAAACAAAAAACGAAGTGGGCGGGGTCAAATCCTCTACCGTTCTCATGTGACGTCATATGAAGCGCAGAGATTTCGGCTCTTATACCGTAAATAACGGCTTATTAAAGGCGCAGGCCACCGTGTTGCGATAGGTCATTGAGAAGAATTGAACTCTCACTTTTTTCTGCGCGAGAGCGCCGCAGTGCTTGAACACGACACACGACACTTCACGGAGAAAAAGTGGGCGTGCCGTCGTCGAAAAAAACGCCGTGACTCGGGTTCTCTAAAAATTCATGTTGCTTTTTTTGAGCTCATAGTTTTACCACAACAGAAACTATTAGTTCAAGCTATGACAGGCTCCGCCCCTTTTTAGAATTACTGTAGCCAGAAAATTTTGTTATGAACTTTTTATAGTCTATTTATGGCTATTAGAAAAAAAACCTCTCTGCGCCCTCCTCGTCCCTCGACGACCCTCTCAAACTGACAATCTATTTTCATGTTCCTCTGACCTTGCCGTTTATAGACAGAGAGACGCAGACACACGAAAAATTTCAAGGGAAACCGAGCTCTAAATGAAATTTTTTCTGTTTTTCTTCAATTCTCTAGACTGCCGTGAAACCCTCTCTTTATTGCACACTATCTCGCTTATCGTGACAGGACCCTTTTTGGGAAAATTTGCTGATGTTTCGAATTTTTGGCGCTGAATGATACGCAGGGAAAGTGAAAAATGTTAAAAGTTTTTTTGTCTTGGAAATTTATTTTCGCTTTGAAGGTCAACGAAAACGAATCCGAAACGTGACCGCGATTCGTCCCTCATGACTCCGAGGTTCTTTTTTTCGAGCTTTATTGATTTTTTTTTTTTCGAATATCGTCTATTTAAAGTTTCCTTGAAAAGTTCTGAAAAATCTCTGAGCAAAAAATAATTTTTTTAATTGATTATTTCAGTGTGAAGACGTCGAGATCCGACTATAAACCGCCGGAAAAATCGACCAAGACGAGGTTGGTAAGATGAGCAATGCTGAGAAACTATTTGAAACTTGCGAAATTTCATCATTTCAGTATCGCCGGCACGAAATCGAGCAAAGAGGATGCTCAGAAAAAAATCGAGGTTTGTGGAAATTTATTGAGAATTTAGAAGGAGAAGAATTTTTTTAGAGGAAATGATGATTTTTAAGGAATTTTTTTGATTTGAAGCGGTTTTTTTATAGCTTCTTCAGGTCATTCAGACACTTCAAAAATGAAAAAAATTATGCGCATTTTTTTGGGATTTTGAAACAATTCAAGAGGGTAATTGTTTTATTTTATGAATTTGTAGAACTCAAAAAAATTTTTCTTCTCAATTGCTCAATTATTAAATCATTCGGAGGGGTCCGTAAAAAGACGCTTTGGCGCACTACATCTGACTTTCCTAGTTTTTTTCATCTCATTACTGTTTCTGAGAAAGAATTTTTCAAATTTATTTTCAAAGTTGAGTCGATTGTAGGTTTGCATATGATTTCAGAATTTTGAAGTAATTTTTTCGGTTTTTCAAGCCTTTTTTCTAGGAAAACACAGGCAAATTCCAAAGTACCTTAAAAAAAGCCTACAAAATAAGAGTCTGAAGCTCGTTTTTGAGCTCCTAAAAAGGTATAAAAAGGTTCTCGGAATCTCCTTTTTCCATTTTTTTTTTCTCCCGCTTCTTACTCTTTAGCTTCTTAAAAGGTCCTTTTCAAAGAAAGGTCTGAAAAAAGGCGCCTTTTTTTTCTCAAAAGTCCTTTCTGAGAGCTTTTGGACTTTGCCCGTGTTACCGAGCCTAACAATTTTCAAATATTCAAGAAATATTTTCAGCGTCGAGAGCGCGAAATCGCTCAAAACAGAAGTTGCGCAAAGGTTGAGGTGAATTTTTGAAGAATTTTTTGAAATTTCGAGATTTTTAAGTCTTTTTCCTAGGGTTTATCACCTTTTCATGAAAAAAACAATGACTTTATTTCAGTTTTTTTGTAAGTTAAGCTTTTGGATTTTGAAGTTCCATAAGGTTTTTCAAGAGCTCGAATTTTTGATTTTTGAAGGTTTTTATTTAAAAAAATTGAAATTTTCCAGCGCCGAGAGCAGAAAAATCGTGTGATAAGGACGTTTCGAAGAAAATGAGGTGATTTTTGAATATTTAAAAAATCTTGGATAGGAATAAGATTGGTAGTTTTTTTTTGTTGAATTGGAAGATTTGAAGGTTTTTTTCGTCTTATCACCGGATTTTTAATATAAGATTTCCATGGACTTTTTTTATTTTCTTTCATTTTTTTCATCCATTTTTGTTATTTTTCCAGTTCTCCTGGAGCCAGAACGGCGTCGGTTAGAAAGAACCCCAATCTCGATAAATTTGACAAGAGCAGGTTCCTTTTTTTCCGTTTTGTATTTTTTTAGCTAGTTTTTGTAATTTCCAGAACCTCCCAGAAGAGCACTATGACTGCATCGAGGTGAATCCAATTTTCCTCAGTTGAAAAAAAAAATTGAACATTTCAGAACTCCAAGCAAAAGCTCGAAAGAGGCGATCAAAAACAAGTGAGCCCCACAAAAGAAACAATGCGCCCTTCATATTTATTCCAACTATCATTTCTTTCTTCACTGTATTTTTCTTCCCGCCCCCTTTTACAAGCAGAATAAAGGATGTTTCTGAACTTTGTGCCAGAATTGAGCAACAAAAATTACTCATAATATGATTTTTTGCGACCTTGAAGGTCGCAAGGAGAACATGTAAAAGTTGGTTCTAAAGTGAGCGGGTCGTGAAAAAGTGCGACCGACTTAAAAGCTACTTCATTTTTTTCAATATAATTTTTTTACGTTAATCGCAACGCTTTGAGCCATTCCAAGTGCGACCAAGAGTTTGCAATAAGCATGGAAAAAACAAGTTGACTGTTTTCTGCCCTGGTTTTATCGCTGTTTAAAATATCCTTGTAAAAATCCGATTTTTTTCGATTTTGAGGTGTTGGTCGCAGGGAGAATGGTTAAGAGGGTCTTGAAAAGTGCAACCGACCTAAAACTACTTACGAGCTTCAGTATTTGATCTTGTTCGCTTTATTACGTTCTCCGCTACGCTTTAAGCCATTCGAAATGCGACCAGGAGTTTTGGAAAAAAAGTTTGGAAAAAAAAAACAAGTTTTTTTCTGTCCTCGTTTAATGGTTCACAAGGATCCCTGTAACTTCGATTTTTCTAGATTTCTAGGCGTTGGTCACACGGAGAATGGTTGAGCGGGTCGGGAAAAGTGCAACCGACCCAAAGCTACTTGCGATTTCATGTCTTTTGTGTTTTGGTTACGTTCACCGCAACGCTGTGAGCCATTCCAAGTACGACCAAGAGTTTGCAATAAGCTTTGAAAAAAAAAAAAACAAGTTGACTGTTTTCTGTCCCGGTTTCATCTCTGTCTGAATTATCTTTGTAAGTTTCCGAATTTTTTAGATTTCTAGGCGTTGGTCACACGGAGAATGGTTCAAAAAAAAGTGCAACCGACCCAAAACTACTTACGAGCTTCAGTATTTGATGATGTTCCCTTGATTACGTTCTCCGCAACGCGTTGAGCCATTCCAAGTGCAGCCAGGGCTTTCGGAAAAACAATTGAGAAATTAAGCCCATTAAAAAAGCGGTTTTTTTTTCTCCATGTTTCATCGCTTTCAAACTCCTCCTGTGAAAAATACGTTTCAATCAATTCATAAAAAGATAGCTTGGTACGTTGGCTCATTCAACGACAAGTTTTCGGCTTTACGAAAAAAAAATCAATTTAAAGGTGCATCAGTAAAAATTGCGACTTTACCCCGATGAGAAGAATTTCTAGCCTAGGAAACGCTTCGAAAAAAAAGTGAATAGTTTTGGATGCCTTTTTTGAAAGTTTATGTGCAGTTAATTAGTTTTATGTCACTTTTTTTGATTACTGTATTTTTCTTTTCAGGACCAATGAAGATAAACCTACTCTGGTAGATACCCCGGCGAAGAACAAGTAAGGGATACTGTAAGCTTTTTAGGATTAATTTTTTTTTAGGGATTCGAAAAAGAAAGTCGGCTCCAAGGAAGCTCCTCACAATAAGAAAGCCGAGATCAAGAAGGAGTAAGGGTTAATGTAGCGATTTTAAAGTTACGGTATCTGTTTTAGTGATCCAACGCAGGACCCGGTTTCCAGAGAGACTTCTCATCATAATGAAACGGAAGAGAAACCTAAGAAGCTGAAAAAGAACTATGGGTTACTGTAGATTTTTTTCAGAAAGACTTTTAATTTTTATAGAGATCCGGTCAAGAAAAAAACGGTTCCAAAGAAGTTTCTCATGACAAGAAAGCTGAGAAAAAGAGAGAGTAAGGGTTACTGTAGCTTTTTAAGATTACTGTAATTTTATTCAGTGATCGAACCCAGGACTCTGTTTCCAGAGAACATTCTCCTCGTAAGAAAAACAGAAAAAAAGTCTGAGAACCTGGGAAAGAAAGAGTATGGGTTACGGTAGACTTTACCAGGTTACTGTATTTTGTTTTTCAGAGACCTTTTAAAGGCAACTGGCTCCAAAGAGGCTTCTAGTATCGATAGACAGGAAGGCAACCCGAAGGAAATAGAAAAGAAAAAGTATATATTACTGTAACTAATTTGAAATTACCGTAGTATTTCCCAGAGATAAAACATCAAAAGAAGGCTCGAAAGAGGTTTCTCATGACAAGATAGCTGAGAAGTTGAAAAAGAAAGAGTGAGGGTTACTGTAGCTTCTCAAAGTTACCGTATTTTTTTCAGTGATCCAACGCAGGACTCAGTCTCTAGGGAAATTTCTCCTCGTAAGAAAACAGAAGAAAAATCCGAAAAGCTAGAGAAGAAAAAGTGAGGATTACTGTAGGCTTCTCATGGATACTGTGGCTTTTTTATAGAGATCCGGTCAAGAGAAACGATTCCAAAGAGGGTTCTCATGATAAGAAAGCTGAGAAAAAGAAAGAGTGAGGGTTACTGTAGCGCTTGCAGGAATACTGTAGATGATTTCAGTGATCCAACTCAGGATTCGGTTTCTAAAGAAGTTTCTCATCGTAAGGAAACGGAAGAAAACCCTAAGAAACTGCAAAGAAAAGAGTAAGGAGTACTGTAATGCTCTGCAGGATTACTGCCCTTAGTTTCAGCGATAAAACGCAGGATTCTGTTTCCAAAGATGTTTCTCATCGTAAGAAACCAGAAGAGAAACTTGAAAAGCTGTGAGGGTTACTGTAGATTTTTCAGAACCTCTGAGAATCCTTATAGAGATCCGGTCAAGAAAAACGGTTCGAATGAGGCTTCCCACGACAAAAAAGCTGGAAAAGAGACTGAGAAACTGAAAAAGAAGGAGTGGGAGTTACTGTAGATTTTTTAAGACTACTGTATTTTTTTTCAGCGATCCAACGCAGGAATCTATTTCCAAAGAGGCTCCTCACAGCAGGAAAACGGGAGATAAGTCGAAGAAAAGGGAGAAGTAAGGATTACTGTAGATGTCTCAAAGGTACTGTAATTCATTCCTGCAGAGATCAAGCCGGCAAAAATGGTCTAAAGGAAGTTTCGAGCAAAAAGGTTGAAGAGAAGCCGAAGAAGAAAGAGTTGAGATTACTGTAGCCTCTTCAAGACTACCGTATTTTTTTTGCAGAGATCCAGTCAAGGTAACGAAAGAAGTTTCACACAAAAAACGCGCTGAGGAGAATTTTAAAAAGTTGGAAAAGAAGGAGTGAGGAGTACTGTAGAAACTTTAATGATTACGGTCTTACAGGGAGCATGAAAGGAAACACGGCTCAAAAGATTCGACAGATAAAAAGTAATCTAGGATTACGGTAGCCTTACTGTAGCCTTTCTTCTAGATCCGATGACAAAGCAGGAGCCAAGGAACCCTTGAAAGCCGAAACGAAAAAGACGAATCGGAATAAGGAAATGTAAGGAATACTGTAGCTTTCTTGGAGAATACAGTAACCTTTTCAGAAAGTCTCAAGAAAAAATCAAATCGAAGGAAAGCACGTAAGAATTACGGCACTTACCGTAGCCAATCGTTTACTTTTTTTCAGAAAAGCTGTAACTAAATCGACAAAGACGGATAAAATCAATAAAAAGACGGCTGTCAGGTTACTGTAGCTTTTTTATTAGGTTTACTGTATTTTTCATAGAAAGGGGATCACGCCAACGAGCTTCCCAATGTCGCCAGTTCCGCCCAAGATTAAATGATAAACAATTGATAAATAGAGGTATACTGTATTATTGAAGGGGTTACTGTAAGGGAGCTTCTTCGGGATCTTTCTTCAGGAAAGCCTTTTTTTGCAGCAGTGAACCTTTTTTGGTAAAAGATTTTTGAGATATTCATTCAGTATGGTTCTGGAGGGTTACGGTACTTTAGTCTGGAGGGTTACCGTAGTTTTTTGAAAATGGATTTTGCAAGTTTAGGCTCTAGGCGGATAGAAGTGCCTTGATGTCTTTTAGGATGGTCCAAAGCGTTGCGGTCGCGTCGCGGTTGGAATTAGAATAACATAGTCTTTGTGATTTAAAATGGCGACGCGTAAGTCGTTTCGTGGTCGGACGCAGACATATAGGGACCATTCTTTGTTTCTTTAGAAAATATTTTTCTCGAGTCTTTGCTGTATTCAGTAGCGTTATGTTCTCACTGTGTGTCGGGCTCAATATTTATCAAGGTGTACTGTATCGGTTACGGTAGTCCGTTTGAGTTTCATTCGGCGGCCACACTGAGAGCCTCCTCCTTGGCGACCTTCTCCTCGCGGTCGGCCTCCCGTTTCTCCTCGGCACTCTCGCTGCTGCTGCTGCTGCTCTTGTCCTTCTTGACGACCTTCGGCTGAGATTCAGCCGCCTCCGGGTCCAGATAGTCGGCGTTCATTCCGCCGCGACGACGCCTCGACACGATCAGCTCCCGTTCTTCCTTGGCGAAGATCGTTTCGAGGTTCAGGACTCCTGAAACGAGCGGAATTGCTCAGAAGAGTATAGTCAATGTTTCCCGACTTGAAAAGGGAGGGAGGCGAAGCAAGGGGGCGGGACGCGTGGCGTGTGCTTACGCGGTTCTTGGCAGGAGTTCAATTCAATTGCCGCCGACTACTTGAAAAGCTCGGCAGCTCTTTCTCTGTATTTTTGTACTAATTTTTTTGATGCACAAATCAACATAATCAATAAATAATTAAAAAAAGAAGTGAAAAAGAGCGATAAATTAGCTCTTTGAATGCTCGCTGGCGGTTGAATTGAACTCGTGCCAAGAACCGCGTACGCACACGCTACGCGTCCCGCCTCACTCCCCTTTCAAGTCGGGAAACATTGACTATACAGCATTTTTGTTCGATCTTGAGACAGGCCCCAGATTCTAGCTATGATGATCAGTTTGAAGATGCTTAATGAGGCTTTTTCCTAATTTCGGAGCATTTTCTGGGACATTAAACACGATTTATTTCATCTATAAGGAACCCAAGTCTTCATAACAACTTTCCGCGGCTTTTTTTCACAATTTTTAGCATTTGGATCATTTTATCGTTGAAAATTTCATCAGTTTTAACTAGGATAGCCCATAGTCCATTCATAACAGCTTCCTGGGGCTTCCCCCCTATCGAGCGTTTATTTTATTCTATCCAATTTTCGAGTCTTCAGATATATCAGTCAGTTTTTCCAGACTTTGAAGGCTAGATGGGGAGATTGGCAAGGGTGAAGCGTTGCGTGTGCGACGCGGCTTTTGACGAGAAACTTGTATTGAACATTAAAAAACGTTGCTCGCGTTTGAGATATCCGCGTCGCGTACGCAAGGCTTCACTCTTGCCAGTCTACCCATCTCGCCTTAAAGTTTGGAAAAATTGACTATAATATATCTGGAGACTCGAAAACTGGATAGAAAAAAATAAGTGGTTGACCGGGGAAAAGCCCCAGGAAGCTGTTAGGAATATACTATGAGCCATCCTAGTTGAAACTGCTGTTTTTTTCAACGAGACGGGTTTCAAAATGATCCAAATGCTGAAAATTGTGAAAGAAGCCTCGGAAATTTGTTATGAAGACTAGGGATCCTTTCAGTTGGAATATACAGTTTCGAAGACTCCAGAGTCGAGAGAAAATGCTCCGAAACTGAGAAAAAAAAAGCCTCATCAAGCTTCTTCCAATTGGTCATCACACCTAGTCTGGGTGCCATGACTTGAAGCTTCACGGAACGACATTCCGCTGTTCCGCTGCGTGCGTTCGCGAAACGTCTTTCGAATCTAGGTCACGCTTTCAATTTATTGTTTAAAACTGAACGGGGTTGACCCCTGGTTACACTGCGGGGTGCACCGAGAATTTTACGCAGGGCGCACCGCAACTTTTGTTTTAGCTGACGCTAAGAGGGCGTGTCCTGTCTGCGCTCTCCACGAGCCAGTCACTATCTCGTGCATTATCGTGTCAGGACCTTTTTTTCGATGGCTCAAGCCAGCCGTGAATCAGATATAGATTCAACACTTACTAAGTTAAGGTAAAAAAAAAAGAAGAAATGATATGGTGAATAATGAAAATTTCAACTGATCGTCGATTATTCTTCATTTCTCATTTAATCTTCACCATGAAACGTATTCGATTCAAGTTTCAAAGCGCTATTTTCAGTAAATATATATATTCAAATTCAATTTTGACGCGTAATTTCTTGATTTTATCGGAAATCGCCGGAAAAACTTTAAGTTTCCTCGTGATTTTCGATCACCACAAAACTTAGAAAAAACTCCAAAACGATCTAAAAAATGATTTTCTCGGTAATTTTTTTCTCGAAAAAATCTTCAAAACCATCTAAAAAGCGATTTTCTCCATGATTGGTCCACAAAGCTCGCGAAGTGTCTTTCGAATCTAGGTCACGCTTTCAATTGATTGTTACTGCTGGGGGAGCACATGAAAGTATAGTACCTTAATAAAAAAATTTTTAAAAAAATTGAAAGCGCGACCAAGGTTCGCAAAGGCGCGCAGCGGCACAGCGGAATGTCGTTCGGTGAAATTCCAAGTCGTGGCACACAGGCTATAGTCGCTCTTGTTTCTCTGCCGTCTCTTCAGGCTTTTCCCTTCTCTCGCCTTTCTCATTTTAGACCCTTATTCCTGTACTTACCGATATCGAAAGTCTTCTTGGGAACCTTGCCCTCAGTGATGTAGGACTTCGGCAGAGCGAACTTGACCTTTCGCGAGCCGGGCTGAGAACCACCTGATTTATTTGAGAATTTGGTATATTTTCACCTTGATGCCATCGTCGCAGTCGTGGTAGACTTTGAATACCGGGTCGATTGGCGTCACTTCGGCGGTTCCGCCGGACAACGAGAACTCGCCGTTGGCGTCCGTGTAGCCTTGGTCGAGGAGGTCGTCCGGGTCGGGGCCTTCAAGGAAGAGAAAGCATTTTTTGAGGTACTGCGAAAAATAGAAATTGTATGGGGCTGGATCTGATATTAGAGCCAAGAATGGAATCCCTGTTCAAATTGTAATTTTTTTATTTTTTTAAACCTTCCTTTGGAGTTAAAAAAAGAAAAAAACGGATAATCAAGCTATATTTGTTGATAACATTGTAAGAAAACTGTAAGAAGAAAAAACTTAATTTTTTTGAAAAAGCAAAAAATTGGATGAGTTAAAGAGGTTATCTCCGCCAGCTACCATACCTTCTCAAAATTTATAAAACAAATGAATTGAAAGTTCATTTTTTTTCCGAATGGATAATCATAAATTTTTGAGGAACTATGGTAGTTGGCGGAGGTTATCCTTTCAGCACGAGAATCCAATTTTTTGCTTTTTTTTCGCTCAAAACTCTTTTTGAGCTGTTTATTTCGCTTATTAGTCACGAAAACTGAGGAAAATGGCTGAAAATGGCTGCTTAGACGTTGATAATTTTTTGCGGGCAAAAAGCGGGCTGGCCCACGTAGCTCTCATGCTGATGAGGGTAGCCCAGTCGGGCTAACACGGGGTCTCAGCGGGTGTGCCCGTTTTAAACCCGTACAACACCGTTTTAGCCCACTTATGTTTTTTACACCCGTTGTTCCTTCTTTTTGCTCAATCGGGACTAGATCAGCCTGTAAAACACGGGTACACCCGTTGAGGCGCCTGACCAGCATGAGAGATGTTTTGGAGACTTTTCTAGGTAAACGCACCAGAATCTTCCTCCCAAAGCTTGACGCGAACATTATTCGCCGGCTTGCTGCCACACAGAAGCTTTCCCTTGATGGCGATCGATTGGTCGCGAATCGCCAACGTCGCTCCCAAAATACTCAGGACGATCAGTGATGTCTTCATCTGAAAAATGCTCCATCTTGAACCAAAAATCGGGGAAAACAAGGAGAGAAAGAGAATCAACTGAATGGGGCTCATAGCGTTGAAATCGAAGACGCCGTGATAACAAGATAAGGCTGACAGCTCGAAGGTCTTTTGTGTTGGTATTGGGAGATGATAAGACGGTGTTTTGGCTTCGCAAGAGGCGACTTTAGTGCCAAGAGGTTGAACAAAGTTTATTTCCGGGTTTTGAAATGTATTTTTGTGTAGAATCAGGCGGTTGAAAGGATGAGTCATCGAGGTATCATTTTTTTTTTTGTATTACGAGAGACTAAGGTCTGTTGAAGAGACGCCAGAGAAGCTAGGGTGTGTCTCAGGTCTCTTCTAAGTTCTTGCTATTTTTCGAAGAAGAACCGAACCGAAATCGTAAAAATTTGATGTTGAGGCTGTAAAGTGGGAATGGAGAGATCATTGAGGTTAGAAGAGACGCCAGAGAAGCTAGAGTGCGTCTCGTTGTCTCATGTCTCTTCTGATAGTTTCATATTATTTTTTTCAGAGCACATAAAATCAGAAAAAGATGCTAGGGTTACTAAAGGAATGGAGAGATCAAAGAGGTTAGAAGAGACGTCAGAGAAGCTAGGGTGTCTCGTTGTCTCGTGTCTCTTCTGATAGTTTCATATTATTTTTCAGAGCAGATATAATCAGAAAAAAATAAACTAGGGTTACTGGAGGAAAGGATAGATTATTGAGGTTAGAAGAGACGCTAGAGAAGCAAGTTACTCTCTCTGTCTCTGCGTCTCTTCGAGAGGCTGTTGAATTCTAACTTCCCATTTTTGAGCAGAGTACAGTGCTTATGAGAAGGATCAAGAAACTGTTCGATGATCATCTTTCCGAAGAGCTCATTCGATTCTACAAACAAACAAGAGAAACAATCAACATCATAAAAACGTACTTTCTTATCTGTTGTCTTTTCAAGATTTTCTCAGTCTTGTTTCAGATCTGCCTTCTTGACCGGTTGTTCTGTGCTTATTTCTTATTAATTTAATATTTGAGCTTTTTCGAGAATGAGTTCTTAGTGACGCTGGGAAGTTCATTTTTTTGAAAAAAATTTATCATCTAATCTAGAAAATTTCATGTCATGTTGAAAAAGGCAAAAAAATCATAGACTCTGATTGGGGTTCGAACTCTCGATATCAGATTGACAGACGAGACTCTTAGCCGTTAGTTTATGGCTCTTAGAAGTTCCAGGAGGCTTTCCCGAGTTTCTTATTCATTATTTATCTTGGTGACTTCCCAATAGTCCGTTTTTCGCGACTTGAGAGGCCGTGACTTCTCTGCGCTCTCCTTATCTCTCAACGACCCTCTCATTTTTACGTGCTGTTTCCTCGCCGGTGAGGGAACAGAGAGACGCAGGCACGCGGAAATTGTCAAGTCGCGTTGGATGTATATGATTTACAAAAATTTTCAGAACTGTTTCCTCATTTTTCTTGATAATGTCCTTCCAGATGACTCGATTCCTCGTTCTCGCTGCGATTTTCGGCACCGCAGCCGCTGTTTTGGACCAATCTGTGGCCGTAAAAGGAACTTTGATGTGCGGAGATGATCCGGCGGCCAACGTCCGTGTGAAGCTTTGGGAGGAGGACGGAGGTTCGCTTTTATCAGTATGAAATGATAAAGTTTCCCAAAAACTCCTACGCATATTTTTCTGAATTGTTCCATGACTGCTGGGAAAGTTCGAAAAGGGCACTCTTAAAATCAAAATATCAAGATGATTCAGCTGATCAATGTTCATTTTAGCGAACTTGTAGGCTTAAAAAGGTTCGTAAAAAATTCATTTTTTCAGTTTCTTGAGCCCTAAAAGAGTGCCTTTTTATGAAGAGAAAAATGAGAGAGGAATTCCAGAGGGATCCCTATAGGGTTTATGGAGGAAAAAACCCCCTATAAAGGCCGAAAAAGTGGTCCTTATAGAGTTAAAATTAAGTTAATCCCTATAGGGGTGTATGGTCTGACCCCTTAGCACCTAAACCTCAAGTGGACCCTATAGGGTTCTTTCAATTTTATCCGAAAAACGCTTGTTCATTCAATTTTTCCCATGGCTATACTTCTTCGCTTAGAGTTGATCAAAATTCACTCTAGGGATCACTTTTGCAAGCTTCGGTGGCCCCTATAGAGATTGGTAAAGTGATCCCTAGAGGGGACCTTTCAGAACCTTCGAAGGTTGCCTCTATAGTGATCTCTTTGGAGTTTTTAAGGAATTTGAATGGAGCTTAGAGAAAACGAAGAATTTTTACATTTCTAAGGACCTTTCAGGCCGCTGTTGATCCCTTGCTGCCAAGCCTTTCTGAAAATTCTCTTCAAGAATTCCTGGGATGCTCTATTTTTAGTTTCAAATCTACGCTTCTTTGCCTATTTCCCTCTCATAAAGCTCAAAAATATGTTCTACCACATGGAAGAAAGGGAACGTCTTTGAAGAAAAAAACATTTTCTTCGATTCAAGGCCCCGATCCGGACGATTTGCTCGACCAGGGCTACACGAAAGACGACGGCAGCTTCGAATTATCCGGAGGAACCGCCGAACTGACGCCAATCGACCCGGTCTTCAAAGTTTATCACGACTGTGATGATGGTGTCAAGGTAATCAACGTTCTTCAATCAATAAAAATTAATTGATTCAGCCCGGCGCCAGGAAAGTCGTCATTTACGTCCCCAAATCCTACATCACCAAAGGAACCGACGCGAAAAAGACTTTTAATATTGGTTTTTCATCTTGTCGAACTTCTTAATCTTCTACTTCTTCCAGGAACTATCAATTTGGAGACCACTTTTGGGGCTGAAGGACGGGAGCTCGTACTCTCCCGCCATCGACGTGAACCCGATAATTATAATTTCCTTGACAATCTCTTTGCTGGCGTTGACTTTTGAAAAGAAACTGTGAATATATGTATAAAATAAAGGCTTTTTATGATATGCGATTTTTCTGATTTTGAAGTTACTGTAATCGCCCGGTGTGCAGTCTTTTTGTTCCTCCTATTGCATACTCTTAGAAGTGGATTTCAAATTATTTTCCTTGCATCAATTGTTGATATTTCCGTTTTGTTGTGAACTTAAAAAAATATTCATAAAGTCAGAAAAATGTACTGCAAGTGCTGAAAAATTTAATTTTTTTCCAACTCTGGGCTTTTTGAAGTGCTTTCAGTCTTTTTGGTTTAATGCAGGAACGCGACTTTCCTTGAAACTAAAACTCAGCTATTTGAAGCCAAGAGAAAGATTTTTTTCAATTTCAAAGCGTTTTTCTTAGTTTTATTTTTACGAGTTTAATTTATTTATTGCTTTTTCGTTTCAGCTCGGGAGGATGGCCGCAAATTTTTGGAACAGCAGTCAGAAGTTAGTTTTTTTCCTCTTTAAAAATTGTTTTTTCTTTGAACTTTGAAAGAAGATAATTTTTAAGTTTCACACGCACCTTTGAGACATTATTTTGCTTCGAAAACATAATTTCATGCATTTCCCTTTAGTGAACAATGGATGTTCGACAAAAGCGAATTGATGCGAAGTCGCTCGGAGGATTTGAAGATTTACACCGAAGAAGAATACGCGAAATTCATGATTTTCTGGGCAAATTGTTGGTTCTCTTCATTTTGATTGAATAATTGTTCATTTTTCCAAGATATCCAAGCGATTTGCACGGAAGGTTCGGCCGTTTCGAATAATTGCGTTAAAACGAGGATTTTGGTTTGTCAAACGGCGACCGTGTATTTCAAGCGGTTTTATACGAGGTTAACATTTTTTTACTTCTCATAAAATCTGGTTGGTTTTTTAAAGGGGCATGATTTGATTTCATGAAGGTCTTGAAACGAAAAAGCCATTTTTTTAGGTCAATTCAGCTTATAAGAATTTTTGACTTTGAAACCTCTTCAAGAATTTTTAAAAAAGATTTTAGGAGACAAAAAAATCCCAAGTGACCTTTTTAAGGGTCTTAAAAAAACTTTCTCAAGAAAAAGACTTTTTATCGGTTTTTCCTCTCTTCTGAAAAATTTTTCAGGAAGATCTTCTACTTAACACCTTTTTCATGCCCTTGAAAAAAACTCTTCGAGAGAAAAAAATTAATGAAAACTTGTGAGGAAGGCCTTCTGAAGGCTTTACTTTGAAAAGCTTATTTTTTAGGTGTTTCTATATATTTTCCCAAAAGTTTCTCGGTTTATAATGAACTCTTCCTTACAGAAGGTCATTCAAAGACATGGATCCATTTTTGGTCGGAGCGACGGCAATTTATTTGGCCTCGAAAGTCGATGAAATGGGCCCATTGAGTTTGACCTCGCTGATCAAAAATGTTGGCCATGTTTGTGAGTTTTTTTCTTGTCTTAAAAAGTACATAATTTGTTAGAGGGTCTCTTTTGAGTTTTTGAGAGGAGCATAGACGATTTTTATAAAGGTCTCGAGGCGAAGAGCCGTTTTCAGAAAAAGTTCTAGGCCATGCTAGACTTTCAAAAAGCCCTACCAAGAAACTATATTTATCGATAGTCGGTTTTTCAAATTATGGAGTATTTTTTTAAATGTTTTTCAAAAATACAAAGCTTCACTTGGAAAAAGTGCGCTCCTGTAATTTTCAAATGAAAAGAATTTGGAAGCTATTTTTGAATTTGAGTAACAATTTTTTTCGATTTTTTTCTCAAGTTTAAAGAGATTTAAATTGATTTTTACTTCATTTCCAAAAAAATTTTGAATTTTGACGTAATGTTTCATGAATCGTTTCTTCTTCTTCTTCTTCCTACGTCTTTATACCGCTTGAGCGGCGTCGGCGCCCCTAAGTCGATTGGCCGAGGTCCTATCCTGATATCAGTGGACTGGCTCGAGTGACATATCCGTCCTTGTGTGTGACGGCTGGGAATTTTTGAAGTCGTGGTTTCCCACTACCAACATTTCTTAAACCCCTTGGTTGGGTCGGGGCGGGGATCAAACTTGTGACCCTGTGGACCGTAGACAGGCACACAACCTGCACCCAGTTTCGTGGACTATATCGCAGCGAGAGTGGCGCGACATAGCAGCGACATATCTCGCTGCCATCTCGCTCAGCTCTAGCAAACTCCCGGCGCGATATCGGCGCGAGGTCGCGGATTATCGATTGGTCACTATTTACGTGCCATCAAAATTTTACTTGAATTGTTTTATTTTTTTCGTGTGTTATATTCTCTCTGATTTTTTTATGTCTATTTTTTTCACTTAATATTTCTAAAATGTTAATTTTACAACTAATGTAACGCTCATACAGTACCGTCAGGAAAGGAAAAATATTTTTCGCTCACAACTTCCTCGTATAGAGCTCAATCTTTCTGAAACGTTTTCAGCTGTGTTTCTAAGTTTTCACCACGGTGTTACAATCAACAGTCATCATATTTCCAGAAAGTTTCAAAAGGGTGAAATCCCATTAAAGAAAGTTGTGATAAAGAAAAAGCTTTTTTGTATATATTTTGACGGAACTGCACACCTTTCTTGAATTTGAAAGTCCTTTTTTTCGCATCATGTTTTAACCAAGAATTTCAGGTTATTAGTACTTCAAAATGGCATCTAACATCGATCAATAAAAGTCAAAGAAAGATCCGTGGGAGATGGCACCGAAACTTTGCTTTTGGATACAATCAATAAGATTCTTGGTAAACTATTTTTTTGAAACAGTATATCCATTTTTACTTGAAGATATGATTTGCACTTTGGCGTCGATGGGTAAGGAAAAGAAGAAATGAGGCATGATTTCGAGAAAGCACGTACTGCTGTCTTGATACAGTCGCTCCTGTGAGTTATTCTCTTATTCAAGGTTGGACTTTTTTTCAGTATTTCTCTTTTTTTAACCGATTTTATCATTTAGAAAAAGTTCTTGACGCAGCAAATGAAGGATATGCCGAAAAACTATCGAGTCAAAGCTTACAGTAACATTTTTTTAAAGGGAACTTAGTGTCAATCTGATTGTTTAACTTAATTTTCTTTTTCAAAACTTCTTTCATTTTCATTTCGAGCCTCCCTCCTTTATCTAATTTGAACTTTTTAAAGATCATCTACGAGCTTACAATCGGTTTACTTTTTCTGTTTTTTTATTGAAACTACTCTTTTTCCTAGTCACATTTTTTTCCTATGAAAAAAATAAACGATACACATGTTTTTTTCGTCATATTGTCCCTTTTTTTATTCTTACTTGAAGCTTCACTCTTTCGCCTCAATTCGATCTTTTTTTCAGATTTGTACATACTTTCCGTTTACTTCGAATTCGAAAATGTATCATCAATTATTTGGAAAAATTTCTTTAATGCTCTCAAGTTTTCATTTAAATATATTGTTTATATTAAATAAAAAAAGTAAATAAGGTTGATAAAGACCGATATGTTATCATGAACAACCCAATAAAAGTATGAAGCATAGAAAAGCAAATCAGAAAAAAGCCCAATCGAGCTAAAAAAATTTTTTTTTGAAAGAGCGGCATAGCAGCGAGATGTGAGCGACCTTGCGCCGAGAGGCGAGCGATATAGCTCGCGGCTCCCCCGCGATATAGCGTTTCTCTCGCTGCGACCTCGTCCGTAAAACTGGGTGTGTTGCGCTACGGCACGCCCCGTTTCATGAATCGTTTCATATTAATAATTTTTTGAAAAGATTATTTTGTGCATGGTTCTTTTCTCGATTGGATTGGTTTCTTATCAGTTTAATGTAAGGATTAATTTATTAAAATTCGCATGCGTAAAATTTCAGGCGCCTTTGTTAAATTTGTAATTGAAAATTGTCAAAAATGGGCGTTTTTGTGATAACTCGATATTTATGATTTTAAATGAAAAATTGAACATTCAAGAATAATAAAGTTGAAAAAGTTCAGCTTTATTTTATGATCTATTCAAAGAAAAAGTGATATACGGTGTTGGTTAAATTTGAATAATAAGTGATCAATGCGGCTATATTTTTGGCGAGTTGGAAGAAAAAGATAACTTGGCATTTTTAGATATGATATAAAAAAAATAACCGTTTGCTGCTTATTTCCGATTATCAAGTAGGAAAATAACTGAATGCGGCTTTTTTGTGTTCACAGGCAAAGTCGGAAAGGGTCGAAAAAGGTTCCATAAAAAAATTTCCTTTTTTGCTGCCTTTTTGCGCCATTTTATGCGCCCTTATGCACCATTTTTGCTGCCTCTTCCTTTTTCCACCATTTCTAGAGCCTTTGAAATCCAGAAAAAATGGAAGGCTTGATAAAGGGACCCTTCTTGCTGCCTTTCTGCGGCCTTTTTTGATCCTTTTAGCGGAATCTTTCCGATTTTGCCCGAGTTGAACAAAAAGAAAAAATCAACTTTTCCATGTTTTGAGGTGAATTGAAGGAACATCTCATTGCGGCTTTTTTTTCTGTTGAATAAGCTGAAAATCCAACCTGTTGCAGTACAAAAAAGATGGCCGATGATCGCGTTTGACCCCTCGCCGTCGAAAAACGCGGCAGTTTACGACGGCGAATTTATTCTCCTCGAAATCATGGATTGCTGTCTGATTGTCTACCATCCACACAGGCCGATGAACATTTATTTGCAGGTGATTTTCTGAATTTTTCAATTTTTGCGAAGTCGGAAGGACCCTTGACGGGCCCTCTGAGCGTCCTTTATGGGTGCAAAAGGTCTCCTTTTTACTGCCTTTTTTTCCGTCCATTCATCGGCCTTTATGCAGAATTTTTGGACCCTTTTGAGAAACAGAGAGTTTTTTTAATTGAGAATAATCTCTACCAGTGACTTTGTATGAACCAAAATGAGCCTCAGTAATAAAATCGGAAATCTTCATAAGCAGAGTCTTTCAGAGCCCTTTTTCCACCCTTTTTGGACCCTTTTTGAGAAAAAAATAATTTTTTTAAATTGAGAGTAAAGTTTATCAGTGACCGTGTATGAACCAAAATGAGCTACAGAAAAATTTTCAGCACCCTTTTTTCACCCTTTTTGAAGCTTTTCAGCCCACCCAGAAAGAAAGGCTCAATAAAGGCCGTAAAAAGGACCCTTTTAGCGGCCATTTTGCACCCGTTTTCCGCCCTTCCGACTTTGGCAGGGAATAAAGATTTGGTTCTTGTGGATTTTGATAATATTTCAGGATTTACAAAAGGAACACCAACTCAAGGAGTTTGACCAACTCGAGGCCCAGTGCTGGAAGGTAACATTTTCTCGAAATATTCTCAATTTTTTGTAAAATCAAACATTTTTTAATAAAGCAGTATACTATAGAGGGCGGGAGAGAGTTGATAAAAAAATTTTTAATTTTTTTTTTTCTGATTCACATAATAATTTTAGATTTAAAATGTCCTGATTTTATCATTATTTATTTTTTTGAGTCCCGATGGGATTGTCAAAGTAAATTTGATGGAACTCAAATTTTCTCTGTTCTCGTGAAGCATTTTCCGTAGATTTCGCTGAAAAATTGTTGAAACTGAATCGGAAAAGTATTTTCATAGGCAAAGTCGGAAAAGGCTTCATAGTAAAGTTCCCTTTTTGCTGCTTTTTTGCGCCATTTTATCGGCTTTTATGTACCATTTTAGCTAACTCTCCCCTTTTCCAAAAAGTCCTCGCTAGATTTTTTCGATGTTTTTATTCAATTCGATGGAAGGCTTATTTATTACCTAGTGGATGGAAGATGCACTGAATGAAAAGGAAAGAAATTAACAAAAAATATATGGTTTGAAACGTATTTCGGCGGGTTTCTAGACACTTGATATGTTATGTTAAAAATGACTGAAACGTGTTTTTAGAGATTTAAAGGTGTTAGAATCGAGGGTTTAGGGATTTCTTGATCCTCAAACTGGTTCAAAGTTAAGGAGAAACACTGTTTCTAACCCTATTTGTAAGTTTCTCCAAAGGCAAAGTTGGAAAAGCTGGAAAAAAGATGCATAGAAAAGTTCCTTTTGGGGTGACAAAAGTTCTTGTTTTGCTACCTTTTCTCGCCATTTTATCGGCTTTTATGTACCATTTCAGCTAACTCTCCCCTTTTCGACCATTTCTGGAGCTTTTGAAATCCTAGAAAAAGTAAAAATTCTCGAAAAAGGGCTCATCTTGCTGCCTTTCTGCGGCCTTTCTTAAGCCTTTTAGCGGCAATTATGCACAATTCGGACTTTTCCTCAAAATCATTGATTTTATTTTCAAATTTTTTTTAGTTCAAAATAAGTTTATAGCAGTTTTAGAGCAATGATAACAGGTATGAGATCTTCAATCATGTAAAAAATTTCAAAACGTCCCAAAGTTCAAAATATTCCAAAAAAAAAAGACCTTGATACTTAAAACATTTCCGAGTAAATGAAAAACTTCAAAATACAGTCCATTTTTCGCGACTTGACAGACCTCTCTGCGCCCTCCTTATCTCTCAACGTCTCTCTCTCTCATGTTTACGTGCTATTTCCTCGCCGGTGAGGGAACAGAGAGACGCAGACACGCGAAAACTGTCAAGTCGTGGCGGATGGACTATACTTCAGAAATTCTAAATTTTTTCCAATTTCCTTAATTTTCCAGGTGGCCAATGATACATTGCGATGCGACGTTTGCCTCCTTTTCCCCCCGCATATCATCGGAATCGGTAAACTTTTCCATTTTCCCCAGTTTTTGATCATCTTCCCGAATTTCAGCCTGCATTATCGTCGGAGCCGAGTTGATGAACCGCGAGAAAGACATCAAAACTTGGCTGCCCGAACTCTCCGTTGATTTTGAAAAGGTTAGTGAGGAAAAATAATTGGTTCAGAGTCCAGAGGGGTCCCTATAGGGGAAACCTTGGAGGATCTCCTCTAGGGACTACTTCATAGCTGACGGCTGGCTTGAGCCATCGAAAAAGGATCCTGACACGGTAATGCACGAGATGACGCCTGACTCGTGGAGAGCGCAGACAGGACACGCCCTCTTAGTGTCCCAAGCTAGCCGTGAATCAGCTATACCTACAGTCCTATATACTCCAGAGTGATCCCTATAGGGACAACCTTAGGGACCATTTTTACCAACCCCTCTAAGGGCCACTAAAGCTTGCAAGAGTGGTCCCTATAGGGGTTTAGTTAGTAACTCCTTTAGGGGGACTTGCTAGTCCTTGAATTTTATGTACTCTATGAGGGGATTTTCATGCGAAAAAATTAAATTAATAAGCGTTTTTCGAATAATATTGAAAGACCCTATAGTGACCACTTTAGCTTAAAAGGCTAAGGAATCAGACCCTAAATCCCCATAGGGACCATTTTACCGAAAAAAGTGGTCCTTGTAGCGGCCCCTATAGGTATCACTCTGGAATTCCATTTTAATATCCTCCGAGCTACAGAACCGTATTCTTGCCTGATTGCATGCGCCTTTAATAAAACCGTGACTTTTTGGCTATATTAAAGGCGCATGTGCAGAATCAGGCCGCGCATATCGAAGAACTATGCTCTGCTCTAAAGTTGATTCACCACTGACTTGAGCCATCGAAAAATGGGTCCCGACACGATTCAAAAAACGAGATAGTGCTTCCTTGGAGGAGAGTGCAGACCTGTAAAATAAAACTTCAGGTCGGCGAATGCGTTCAGATGATCTTCAACATGTACAAACTGTGGAAGGCGTTCGACGAACGGGAGCAGATCAAGGCGCTCGTCTCGAAACTGCCCAAGATCGCGCCAGGACCCAATGGTTATTGATTTTATTTTTAAAAACTATACATACCTATATATATTTATATATAATTATAGTATTATATCACCCAATCAAAAAGGAAAGACTTGTACACTCTCTTGTATTTATTTCCAGGACCATTTTTCCATCAGCACTACGGCCCGAAGATCTCAATGTACTAGGTTGATTTATAGGATCTCTCGATTTGTTTTGTTTTTTCTTTGTTCTGTGTTTGAATTCACTTTTAGACTGCTAACTTTTCAGTTTTCTAATACTAATGATGGGTGCTGCGCTAATGAGAAGTTGTTGATTTTTTTGTTGTTTTGATTGGAAATCTGCGCCATTTTTTCTGTTCCTTCTGAAGGTTATGGCTTCGCGTTTTCCGTTGAGAATGAAGTTTGAGGGTATCTTATGGCGTGTTCATCGGAGAAACGAAATATGCTTCAAAACGAAAAATCGTGTTCATCGGCGCGCCAAAGTTGCTTCAAAACAGTACTAATTTTTGTTGTGGAGCAATTTTTTTGCGTTTTGAAGCAATTTACGTTTTGTCCGATGAACACGCCATTAACAATACGTTAACATCAAGTGTTTCATCTAATAAAAAATTGCTTGAATTTGCAGATACGTACAATAAAAAAGGAACCAATGAAGAATTGAGATGTAAAAAAAAAGATAGAAGAAACTCCCACGATTTGAAAATTTATTACAACAGAAAGTACAAATGGGGGAAAAGGAACAAATTAGAATAAAACAGCAAGCCGTTAAACATATATAAATAAATTCGCCGTACAGGTCCTCTGGGCAATCAGTCAGCCACGTCAAGCATGGTAACCCGACGAATTGAAGTTTTCGCGTCCGTAGTTCGATGAGTTGGCGCCTTGATTGGAACCGTATCCCTGGTTGTTTCCGGAACCACCGCCGCCTCCACGAATACGGCCGCCAGAGCCACGGTAAGCATTTCCACGACCACGTGTACCACCACGATATCCATTCTGAAAACATAAACATTCAAGTTGAAACGTTGAGTTGAGATTACTTTGATTGAAGCAGGAGAATTATATTTTCAATCTGCGTGAAATTCTAGAAAATATTCAGAAACTGAAATTAAAGCTGTAATTTTTCCAAATATTTTCTGCATACGATTTACTAACCAAAAGTCAAGATTTCAAGTTTAAACGATCTTTTACCTTCTGAATTTCTAATTCGTTGATTTCGTATGAACTCAAATTTTAATTCACCTTACGATCAACTTACATCGTTTCCATATCCGGAGTTAGCGTTACCGAATCCGCCGCTGTTTCCGAAGCCGCTGGTCGCAGTTCCAAAACCACCACCACTGGTGGGAGTGTTATCCGGTTTTCCAAACGGAGTCGAACTGTTCAGGCTCGCGTTTCCGAAACTGCCTCCGAATCCAGAAATCTGGAACTGAGTCGTAGGCTTCGGTCTGTCTTCTTCATATTGATTCTCGGGTGCGGCCTGAAGAGATTCAACTTTTGGAATTTTTCAATTAGCGGGCCTACATTTTTCCTATGTGAACCGCCGTTATTCAGATAAACAACAGTTCTATCCAGGTCTGTGCGGTTCTGATGTCGTTCGATTATCTTTCTGTCTTCATCGTTCTAAAATTGTTCTTTTTGTTTCGATTTTTTTTTGATGATAAGATGTACAAGAACGCCGAACTTCGGGAGGGTTGATTCAGTTTTCTTCGGACCCCAGCCGTCGTCATCATCATCGCCAACCGGCGTCGGCATGACAGGCGTTTCCGAGGCCTCCGTGTTGAGTTGAGATTTGACGGCTCCGCGTCCGAAGCCACTGTCTTCGCTAGTGATCTGAGAGTTTGACTCGGAGTTGCCGTAAAGCGAAGCCTGAAATCAAAAAATCCTGATTTTTTTCTCAGCTCCATCGTACTGGTTCTTTTGGCTTGTTTTGGGCAACCTGATCGTCCTGTTTCTGAGCGAGGGCCGGATCACTTGCCGACATGGAAACTCGTTCATCAATTTTTTTTTCAATCCAGTCACTGCAAGACATTAGATTAAAAAATAAAATAGTTTTTATTCCAACGCGTCCTGCGTCGATTCGTTGCGGATTTTGTTCACAAACTCTGGAAGTCCCGAGTTGACCGTATCTTTCAGATCGTTCTTCAAACTCGTATTCTGTCCAACGTTCTGAATCGGTAGAACAATATTTACAAGTCGAAAAATTGGAAGAAACCTGAATGAACTCCTTCGTGTAAGATCGTTCGTCCTCTTGTGATGGTTTTGACGGTTCAGATGGCGTTTCTTCGGGCAGGACTTCTTGAAATAATGATTAAAACGTCCAAAATGAATGAAGGAAAAACGATTGATTTCGATAGATTCGGGATCATCAGCCAGCTTCACAAGCATAACGATCTCATCCTTGGTCGAAACGGTTTGCTCATAAGACGGTGAACGCATCGAACCTCTTGGTTTCCCTAAAGTTTGATACTATTCCAGGTATCTCTGGAGGAAAAACCTGTCGTCGGATTTATGGCCAATTTTTTCTCATTTTGAGTTTTTTCCTGGTTAGAAGCTACGATGCTATCTAAAAAATAATTATTAGATATCGGCGGAGATAAATTAATCACTTGTAAGTAATTTTGTGTAGATTTGGGTGAGATCATTGGAGCAAGAGTAAATTTCCCGGTTGAGAATTTCGTCGATAGATTCGTGATCCCATGAAGATTTGAGGCCAATCATTTCCACGAGCAGATATGCAAATCTCAAGGCGCTCTTGACGATTATCGGCAACTTGCGGTTGTACTCAATCCATTGATCTTTGGTTTCGAACTGCTTTTTTGGGTCCTTAAAAAAAGCTAACTTTTAGACGCGATTATGTGAAAACGCAACACGTTGCATTATCACTTTAAAGGTTTTTTTTTTCCAACATACCAGCGAAATTTCTTTGAATCCGGACAAGTTGATGGAGGATTCCAACTTCTGAATAAAAGACAGAACGCTGCCACGTCGGAGATCATTGTGGAGATCGCTGAAAACTCCTTTCACCTCCCAAGCGGCCAGAACGTCGTCCAAATAATCTGAAATTTTGCGTTCATCTTTTTAAAACTTTGATAAATCACTTGTCTTGCCCTTGCTCGGCTCGACTTTTTCGTTACTGATTTTCAAGAAAATTCGAACGATATCCTTGGAGATTCGAACCGCGTTCTGAAACGATATTCAGACTAGTCCCGAGAAAAAAAAAAGAACCTGGTAAATGAGCTGCTGCAAATCGGAGAAGACGTTGAATGAAGCGAAACTTTCGATCGCCTTGTTTTCAATGAGATCAGTGAATACAAATTTATCGTCAGCCACGATGGATCGCAGAAGGACATAGTAAAGGTTCGCGCTCAGAATCGTGTTCTTCTCCTAGAAAATTATAAATTTCGAAAAAGTTTTCATCTCAAAAATTACCAGTTTTTCTAAAAAGTTTTCAATCTTTTCATTGTTCTCGAACGCTTCAAAGATTTCTCGAACAGCGCCGGGCTTAACAATAAATAAATGATTTTTTTGAATAAAAAGCCAAATTAACCCCAGACTCCGAGATGTCCTTCATCATGAGCTGATGGATGGCGGACAAGTTTTCCCGTTGTTCCCCAGTGAGCCTGTAGACCGAAATAGATAATCAAGTATTCAACGTGGAGAATTCACAAGAATTGAGCAAGTTCCGGATGTTTTTGCTCCAAAGAGCCGACGAAGTCTTGGAGAACTTTCTGCTTGACTTCGTCACCGAAGGGCGTATTGTCGTATCGGAACAGTTTCATCAGACAGTAGCAATCCCTGAATTTTTTGAAATTTTTCCTGTAAAAAAGAAAAAACGAACCAGAACATTCCGTTGGTATACAGTTCTGTAGCGGTAACCAGACGGTTCTCATCGTTGTTTTGCACTATCCAAGATGCTATGAAATTGTCAAAAAAGGAGTAGCTGTTCTTCATGTTCATATGAACCAGCATTTTGCGCAACTCTTAAAATTAATCTTCGAAAATTCTTAGAAAAGAAAGAAAAATACGGGAGATCCTGTCCTTGCTCAACAACGCAGTATACAACTCGTTACTCACAGCGAAGTTTTTCTTGAATCCTTCAGCGTAAGACATGAGAACAGAATTCTGAAATTGAATGCATTTCGACGACTTCAGTTATCGAATCTACGTATTCATCGCCCATCAACGCAAAAAAATCCAAAGCACGAGCGATATCATTCTGACTTTCTTCTTCGGGAGAAAAAAATTTTACTGAAATTTTCCAATTAAAATAAAAGAACCTTGACCTTCATTACCAATATCTTGCTTTGACGGATAATCTTTTGTGAGGCCGACGAAAAAACTGATCACAGGGTCGACTTCCTGACAAAGTCAATTCGTAAATAAAGGTAGAGTTTATATGGGCAAACTTTTTGCGACTTGAAGACAACATCTTTCTCGTTCTTTATGAGGTAGTTCAAGGCTTTACTACAAAACCAAGACTGAACGCCGTTGAATTTATCGACGCAACGTTCGAACGCTGGAAAGTCAGATTTTCTTGAACGATGGACATTTTCTTACCCATTTCGGACTGCTGCTTCAACGTTGACTTCGACTTCGTAATTCTGAAGAAGGTTAAGAAGTGAGAAAGTTGCAAAAAATTAAAATGAAGAGCAGGTGCACAACAAGTTGAAAAAAAAAATTGAGCAACATTTCAATAGATTGAGGAAAAATCTCTATATCAAATTTTTTTCTAAGTCTTAATGAACTTACCGTTCGAAAAACATCCTTTTAGTCATTGGGGACGAGCCTAAGGTGATGTCGCAGAATTTCGAACTCATGATAAGGCGAACTTCCATAAAAAGATCTTTGAGATTCCTCTAATGATTACTCGATCGTTTTCGTATAATTCCACGACATCACTTTTTGACACGTCGTTTACACGTATTAAAAAAATTCAAAAAAGAACGTGAAAAATTTTTAAAAACCCAAAATCAAATTTTTCCGCGCTTTTTGATCTACATAGCTCATCTTTTTCAGGAAATTTCCCCGAAGGCATATATGCGCCTTTTAAATAAATGAATTAATTTTTTGTAGTTTTGTTCTATTTTCATTGAAAAAATTTCCTTGTCAAAGATTGAAATTTACAGACTTTTTTCTTTAATAAGTCTGAAAAATTAAAAACAGCTAATTTTTTTGAATCTTATTTCATACATTTCTTTTTCCACAAGCCGTGTGGTTCGATTCACCGGGTTGAAAAAAATTTAAAAAAATGTTCGTGATATGACTCGGTTTTGATCAGAAGGATCTACTCAAAAATAAAAGATCAAACTTAAATTTAGACCTGACGATCTACCATGAAAGTCATTCATTATCTTTAAATTTATTTATAAATACATTCTCATTTCGATACTCTTTTGCAATCTTTTTCTCGAAAGCAATAAAAACCCTAGTATTGCAAGTTTTTTCTCGAAATTGAAAAAAATATTTTCTGTTATATTTTCTCATATGCCGTCTTAGTAAGAAAAAGTTTCAGGTACCACCAAGATTCAAAAGATGGAGAAGATAAAGGATGGAAGTTTCGTGCCACGAAACTTCAAGTTCTTTTCGAGGTTTTTTTTTTCATTATTTGGACTTCTTTAAATTTTTAACTGTTTTTTGTTCACTCTGTAAGCTTCGGTGAAATTAAAATTTACGTTTTGCTGTTCAAAGTGTTGTTAAATCTACTGGAAAATATAATTCTTTGGAGTAAATTCCACTAGTTTGAATTTGAAATCTCGAAAATTGTTTGTCCGAATAATTTGTCGAGAGGGAAGTCGGCGAGTAGTCTTCTCGTCAACTGGCCGGGCGAAGACTGAGCGATTTTGATTAAACTCTCCCGAGCGATCGTCGCTGAGGTGTTCGCGCACACATATCCGAGTAGCCAACTGCCTATTACAACTGCGCAATCTCGCCACGGCGGCTTCTTGTCCAATATGTTCCGAACTCCTTCCATTTCCTGTCCATCCGTTGGTTCATTACGCTGCTTTTCATAATATTTTTGGTCTCAGCCTTCCCTTTCTTGAATTTTTGCGCTAACTGTATAGTGCTGCCTGACAGATCATCGCTCGGACATTGGTAAGGCGCTACGGACGTTCTCCGGACGAATTCTAGGGTTCATTTAAAAATTTTAACGGTACTAAAGCGGTCACTAGAAATTCCCAGACACGTCCGTTTCCGTTACCAATGGTCGTGCAAGGATCGTAACTTTTTAAAATTTCGGCTTACTCAAAAATAAAACTGTTAGCTTCATCATAACCTTATCGAATCTAAAAAAATTTTTTTGGCTCATTCCCGATCTTGCGCTTTTTTTCAATATTAGTTATCAATGAGACTTGTTTAATTTATTGCTGATTTGGGATTCATAATGAAACTTCTCATATTATTTTTTTGTTCCGATTTCCGGAAGTCATCTCCCGAATTTCTGCGCTTTAAAAAGCGTTGCCACTTCAGAAATTCTCTAGGTTCGATAAAATAAAAAAAGTGTTCTGTGCTAAATTAAAGAAGCTTATCTTCGATAGAATTTGAGAAATTTCAGACTTTCCTCCTGTTAGTTTCCGGTTCATTTCCTTTCCTGTTTTGATAGAGATCAGACCGACTCATTTGACAAAAAAATAGTTTAAATTTGACAATTTTATGTCGCATTTTTTTCACTTTTTTTGGCTTATGTGCACTGTGGTTCTTGATACTGTGCTTTTTATTTTCATGGCTCGAAGCTATATTTTTAAATAAAAAGATCTAAATTTTCAAGAATAAGTTTTTTTACAATGAAGTCTGAGCCTGTGGATGAACAAAATGAAACTTTGAAAAAAATATTCACAAAAAAACCCTTTTATTGCCGGAAAAAGGTTCATGATTTTCAACTTTTACTCCTTTTGATTAATGAAAAAAATCATTTTTTTCCTACTTTCACAGCAAGAATTATAACAAGTGGAGCTCTCATTAACTTTAAACTTTGTTCATTTTCGGAGAAAGGAGATAAATTGTTACAATATGCAACGAGTTAGGGCGTAAGTGGCACCATTTCAAGCGGAATTTATGCATCTTTAGAGTGAATTTTTGGTTTTATTCCCTACTTTTAAAGTGAAAAAAAGAGTGAGAAGAGTTGAAGATAAAAAAAGATCAATGAATTTTTCTGGATTTTTCGTGACTTTGTTCTATTCTTTTTCCGAAAAACCGAATTTTTTTCAATCTTCCAGGACCTTCCCCTTTTTTCCATCGATAAGAAGGTGTCGTATGAATTCCCACTGAGCGGCACCGTTGGTCAGTTCAACTGGGTCATTATTTTTGAACTGATTTTTATTGGTCGTTTTAAAAAAGTCGTCAAATTGATGACAAGTGTGAAGTTTGGGTCATTTTTTTGGCTCTTTTTTTGATTTTTTTGATTGTTATTTTTTTACACATTAACTATAAAAATGGACGTTTATTGAAGATTTTGAAGTTTCATTCGAGTGAAAATTGATAAATTTCCAGTACTTGAAACATTTTTTTGGAAGATATTTCCAAAAATATTTTCTCCTCTCTGCTAGAAATTTCTTCAGTGTCTCTAGGATCAATCATTGATCTCATAAAAAAAGAATTTTTTTCAACGTCTCGGAACTTTTTTTGTAAAAACGCAACTTTTGTTTTTTTATTCGCTACCTCACTTTCCCGTTTCTAAACATCTTTATATATATATATTCCCAGTCTTGTTTTTACTAACGAAAAAGGTGTCATGATTGAAATTAAGATTCTTTTTTTCTGGTTTTTAAATTTTAAAAAGTTTTTGGATATTTGACCAGTTTCGAAGTCGGATATTTTGAAAAATTTAAATTTTCGAAGATTTGTTTTTTTCTCTAATTTTTCCTATTTGATTTCAAATCTTATAAAACTTTATTTATTCATAATAAAAAGAAAATAATTTGCACTGGACACATAGAAGCTAGGCGCTCATGTAATTGACAAAATAAAAACAAAGAATAAGGCTTCGAAGTAAGGAAAAACGTATAAAAGATAAGGTTTTGATGATTTTTAATGGGTTTTCCAGGTTTCTGACCATCTAACCCGGCCTGAAACATGGCGATGTTCATGCCGCATCACTGGCGGACGTCGCCGACGACAACGATGTTGGCCGACGGCTACACGGACGACGCCCTCGCCAGCAAATACGATAATCATCGGTAATTTTGCCTTTTTCAGGCCTTTTGAAGGAATTTTTAAAAAATCTTGAGGTCTTCAATATCAACATAATAACTTCTGAAAAAAAATTGGGACTTCCTAAAGTTGAAAGTTATTTTAATTTCCGATTTTCTAGAATTTTTTTGTAAGGCAACCCCTTCTGTACTGGCGCACCCCTTTTGGCTTCAAATATTTAAAAGTTAACTTTTTCAGAAAAAAATCCAAGCTTTTAGCTGAACTTGATTGGCTGAATTATCTAAATAAGTTGTTCTTTCTAATTTTTGAGGGTCATCTTTTATTTTTTTAAGAGAATTATTAAGAGTTTCCTCGAGAAAAACAATAGGTGATAAGATGAGGTTTGTGTTAGCCAACGGCAGTTTAGCATTTGGCGGCTGCTCCCGTCACTTTTTGCTTCCTTCATTTTTTTCTTTGTGGTTTCTTGGAAGAATCATCTTTCCTGCAAGTTATGACGCCTTGTTGACTTGATTTTGGTTTCTCGAATAATTTTTTCTCAGAAGAGAATCTTCTGGGAGAGAGGACACTAAAGTGGCCACTAAACCCTCTTCTATAGTGACCACTATTTTCCGTTTTAGTGGTCACTTCAGTAGTTTTTCATCCAGTTATCCTCCAGTAACTCTGATAATATTAAAACAAACAGATTGGACCAGTTATGTTGATCCAGTGACCCCTAAAGTGGCCACTAATTTTAACCCCTTAAGTGGCCACTAATTTGACTACTATAATGGCCACTAAAACGTCAAAACCCTATAGAGGCCACTGGAAGTTTTCACAGTTCTTAAAGATTTCATTTGCTGTAGGCTAAAAAAGAAAAATTTAGAGACAGCTTTTGAATAGGCGAGTTTCGGTTCAATTTGAAAGATAAAATCATCTTTTTTCAATATTTTCAAAGTATTGAACAATCATTTTGAGATCAATTTATTCAATTCATAAAAAAACAATACACAATAATACAAGAATAGAGGAAGAACCCGCATATTTGGGGAGATGCGAGATCATATCTGCTTGTAGAAATATCAAAAGGAGAGAATGAAGAACTGATGTAGCAACTGGCTCAAATGGCCGGAGAGCCGATCAAGAAGCGAGGAAAGTTCTATCTTTTAGGGGTCACAAAATTGATCCCTGTTTGAAAAAATGGTATGAATTGAGATGAAAAGAAGGAAAATAGAAAGGAAGGTGACTTTTTAAGCCTGGAGAGGTCAGAAGTTCGATCTAACAGAAAGAAATTCGGCTTCATCTACTCAAAAAAACAAGTTTGAGTCCCGCCCGAAAAAAAAAGGCAAAAACAGTTGGTCAAGGCATACGTTCCAGGGAGCAAAGGATGAAGTCATCAGATATAAGATTCGGTTACCCTTTCGCACAGCTGAGAATATTCAGCAGTGTCGCTGAAAAGACGGCCATTTCTAGCCTTCTCAGCCTCCGAAGCGATGACTTCCGAGGCGTAAGCTGCCATCGAAGAAGCCATTTCAAAAGTGGGAGGCGCATCAGGGTTGAAGAACAATGGCACAAAATCGAACGTCGGTTCGGGAGTTTCTGGCGGCGGCGTCATTGGCCCACGCGAAATCGGGACCTTTCCCTCCAGAGCCAGCTCCTCGTCGTCCTCGTAGAGCGAATCCAACTCGTTCATAGTCGGTTGCGGGCTTCGGCATCGTTCTTCTTCGGCGAGAGCCGCCAGTTCCGGATCTTCTCTCTCTCCTTCGTCCGATCTCATCGGCCATAAGTACACCGTCTGCGTGTCTTCTTCAGAAGGCGGGTAGAAGGCGTCGACTTCTGCGCGGCGCGTCATCTCGAAGAACTCTTTCTGTAAATTGGGTAGAGTTTAGAACAGTTGCAACTGTGAGATCGTATTTTTGTCCTAAAATGGAAGGGTATTACTGTATTCTGGTGGAGCAAACTAGACACTGGGATTATGGCTTTAGACTTTTTTTCGATTTTTGTATCAGATCTAATGAGAAGAGCAACGGAGGTGCAAAAATACTTCTAATTCTATTTTTTAGATTTTTCAGTGCTCCTACTTTATTCTTAATATCTAGTCACATCACCTCTAGCTTGAGTCAATTTTTCTGAGGGAAAGAATTTGTTTTGAATAAATAGTATGGAAAAAAGTTTGGATGCTTCTAATGGAGCAGTTATAGTCAGCGGTGAACAAACTTAAAAATTGGACGTAATTGGGTGGAACATATCTGAAAAAAAGCCTAAAATTAAACTTCAAGTCAGAAAGATGTCCTCAATTTGGCACAAAAATCATTATTTCTCAACTGAAATAAACCCGTACCTCGTTGATCTCTCCCAAATCGACCATCTTCCGGCGCAGATTTTCTTTGAACTTCAACTGAAAAAAGAAATATCAAAAGTGAGAATAAAGGACTTGGAGACTTACGGTTTCAAAACGGACGTTGACGCGGATCTCGTGCAGTTCCCTCAGGCGTTCCTCGTCGTAGGGGATTTCCTCGGAGAAGTTGAAGTGGTACATGTTTCCGTCTGGAAAAGTTTTAGTGTTAGGAAAAATCCAAAAAGAGAGAGTTATGAAATAAAAACAGCTGTGGAACGAAAAAAGAAGCCTTGAAAATCTGAGAAAAGGTGAGCTGAATTGCAAATTTTGCGATTTAAAAATCAAAGGGGACCTTTGAAAAGTTTTAGATCAGTAGGAAATGGATCTTTTATAAAAGATCAGTCTGGCAAGAAGAAAAAAGGCGATTTATGATATTAAGGATAACTTATACATGAAAATACAACCACAGAAGGAAATGGAAGAGAGAACAGAACTTTCAAAAAGAATAGAAAGAAGAAGGAGGAACAGCTCGGGAGAGCCGACTTGGGCCAAAATGAAGTGTTTGGGAGGCGGTTTGGAACTCGGGCCGAGGCTCCGCCTCTTTTTGACACTTGGGCCTTTTCTTTGTTGGATCATTTTGCAGCGAGAAGTTTGCCAGAGGCACTGGGAATGGAGATTTTTGAATGTTATACTTGGGAAATGGTTTTTTTTGGATTGATATATGGCCTAGTGGTACTTGGCGGCTTACTGTATGTTTTTGAAGAGTTGACGGTAATGTATACGGTATCTTGTGATGGGATATCAGCTTTTTTGTGTTTATTTTGGATCTGTTATTTAAAGTTATTTATCATTCTACTCATTTAAAAGACTTTTTCCTAACCTTCTTAATTTTGAGGGAGTCACCGTAACCGAACTACTAGCTTTTGAACAGACGCTAGTGAATCTGAAGTTTCCCCAGATTCATTTTTTCCTGGGTGGCTATATGGTTACCGTAGTTCGATAAGTTCCTTTCTTTCAAGTCAAACAAAGGGAATAATTGGAACGGTTAGTATGATCCCTCGCACATTTCTGTACCAATTTTCACCTGGGCGGCTCATGAAAGAACTTCCTTTTGAAATCAACACTTGCCAGAGGCAAATGGGAACGTGTAGCTTCGAGGTGTCAACCGGGGATGTTTTGTAATTTATGATGGGCTACAAAATCGAATCAAAAAAGTGTGATTGAGATACTAATTGAGGTGTAAAAGCATAAAGATGTTACCACGAGTCTCTACAAAATCCGAGCAGAATAGGAATAGGAATAAAGCAGCTCTGTTATTGCTCAGATAGAGCTTAAAGGTGTACTGGAGGTCTCAAAATGACCTTCCTATTGGATATTCTAAAAAAACGTTCCCTGGTAAGAGGAGAAAATAAGCTTCAAACCAAATTTAGATTCAGCAAATGTCCAAAAAGAAAAAAAAAATTCGGCAAAATCAAGAAATTGAAGACGAATTCTTTTCTAATTTTTTCTCTTTTTAACCTTGAAGATTTTTAGTAAAAGGAAGTATTCCAAGGCGGAGTACGTTTCGAAGAAATGATTTATTCTCAGTTTGAAGTTTTTTTCAATACCCTTTATTGTCGTAGTTGTCTAAATGTATTCAATCATTTTGCCCTCGACAGAAATCGAACCTATTCGAAAAAGTCAATTTTGAGACTTGCCCTCTAACCACTACGCCAGCCCACCTCGGTCAGGCGCGTAGAAGACTCTTCCACGATTTTTTTGAGAAACTTTCTCTCAGAACCCTATGTGGTTTAGCAGTTACTCTCTTGTTTCTAAGAGTTCTTGCCCAAGTCTATAAACAACCGTAGTTTCAACTTGCGACCCGTACCAAATCCCTAGTTGATGTTTTCAATTTTTCGTTGCTAAAATTTCAATTAGATGAGAAAAATAAATCTTCAAACCAAATTTAGGTTCAGCAAGTCTCCGAAAAACATAAAGGATCCAGCGAAATCGAAAAAAATTGAAGACGAATTTTTTTCAATGTAAACACGGTTTTTCCATAAATTCGAAAAAAATCCTTCCCAGAATGTGTCCTCATTCATGGATAATTAATTTTTTCTTTTTTTTCACTTGAAGATTCTTAGTAAAAGGAAATATTCCAAGGCGAAGTACGTTTTGAAGAAATGATTTATTCTCAGTTTGAAGTTTTTTTTTAATATCCTTTGTTGTCGTTGTTGGCTAAATGTATTCAATCATATCGGGGCCCTTAGTTTGTTTAATTAAGAAATTTGAGCAAGGCTTTCTGGAATATTTGAAGGCACTTGGTTTTTTCAGAATTCTCTCTGCGCTTTTAAAGTTTTCAAAGAGAAACTTTGCAGAAGCCGCCGATTATGCGTCTATTCAAATTGAAGAAAAGCTTCAGAATTGCAAAAAAAGACTACCTAAATATAATTACAATTTTGACACTTCTGAGGTCTGTAAAAAAATTAAGAGGCCCTCGTGAATCGAAAAATTTTGATTCATTCGATTAGGCACGTTTCGAGGTCTCGTAAAAAAAGCCCAAAAATTTAGCCGAGACTTTTTTTGACATAGAAGCTAGCTATATCTTTTTTTCAAATAAAAAGCTTTGATCATAATTTAGAAAAATGTTACAAATGTAGCAATTTTTTTCTTTCTCCAAAGGACTACTTTGTTAACGAAAAAAATGATAAACTAATCGTTCGAATTTTCAGATCTAGTCCCATTAGAACTTTAATAAACTGCGATTTTTACAGAATTTTTTTCTTTTAATCGAACTTGGAAAAAAGCAATTTCACTCTGATGGAACTGTATACTTTTGAGAAAAACCTGTTTGGACGCATTAATTTTTCGAAAACTGTACAAAATCATGAATTTATCGCACTTGGGGGTTACCTGTAGATTGATTTCTTAAAGTTTCAATTGAAAAATTGGAATTTTTTTAATTTAGACCCGTTTATTCTGTTGGGTTCTTTGAGTTTCTCGGTTTCTTAATATTGAGAAGTCTTGGTTTTTCCTTCGAGTTACATATTTTTAAAAACTAGAGCAATTTGGCTTAATTTTTGAGTCCCCTCGCACATTTCTCTACCCATTTTCACCTAGGCGGCTCATGTCAGAAATTATTTTTGAAGTGAGAACTTGCCAGAGGAAAATAGGAACGTGGCAAAAATTTTTATTTGATACATAGATGGTCTAATTGTGGTCTGAGATCAACAAATAAAAGTTTTATTAGGTTTTCAACAAACGGTTTTCGCTTCCCAATAGCTGACTTCAAACAGTCGTAACTCGTTTCAGGAGGTCTTTTTTTTGGCTGAACTAAAATTTATGAATAACTTTGAGAAAAATTTAAACTATAATAGAATCAATGATCGACGTTCCTAAATTTTTGAAACTCATGGATCGACCAAGGTCGTTTTGACCTCGATTTGAATTTAAAGGCTCTCCTCACTGATGAAATTCCAAGATTTCACAAAATGTAGGTGCACTTGCACGCATTTTTAGTAGGAAAAGCCGTCCCAATAGCTCCGTTTTTTTTTGGCTGAACTCGAAAAAAGATGATGCGAATCGCAAATTGTTATACGAATTTTAAACGATCACTCAGTTTTTTTCGTGAAAATCTCTTACGTACAATTTGATGAACGGACATCGAACTTCAAAATTATATATAATAATGAAGCAATAAGATATTTCGTCCTAAACTCCTTATCAAAGTTGAAGCATCGGAAAACGAAGGCCGTTTCTTGACAACCTAGTCTACATAATGTAGATTTCCTTCAGTTTCAAAATTTGTATTTGTTTCACTATTTGGCTATTTGGCTCACAGGCCTTTTTTTAAACTCAAGTTGACCTGCCCTTTCAGTTTTGCGAGGGATAGAGTATAGTGAATAAATCAAACGTTTTTTCTTCCCGGAGGAATTTCCGCGGCTTTCCTTGCATCGAGCCGCTTTAAACTATATGTTTAGTTAGGTGATTTGATAGGCTTTCCCGTGATTTTCATTTTCTCATAGATTCTTTTGAAAAACCCTTTCTTTGGATCGTTTTTTATATTTTCAAACGGAATATAAGCTGAAATAAGCCGAAAATAATATATACTTCTAATGAAATTGAAGTCCCAAAAAACCTGCGATTTCTGAGTTATTATTCCCCTCTAGAACAGTTGACGTTGCCGTATCGAATGTCAGTCTGAAGAAGTTGAACAGAAACGAGAAAAAAAAAAGAATCCGTGAAACGTGGCTTTTGTGTGACAAATTTTTGCTTTTTCTCCTCACTTTTTTTGAAATCGAGTTTTTTTCGAATTTATTCGATATGATAGTATTTACGTACTTTTTTTGAGTTTAAGAATTGAAGTCTGTAAAAAAATAAATTTTTTCAGAATCTGAAAAAAACTCTACTTTTTATGGATTTCAATCAATTTTGATGTAGATTCCTTTCTGAGAAAAAAATTTAAAAAAATTCATTGAAAAAAATATAATTTTGAAACCTAATGGAATCATTCTGTAGATCTTCACGACCCTTGTCTCTACTCTCCGGGACTTCTTTGGGATCTCGAGTCCGTTTGTCTCAATTTTCGATTCTAACGCATGAAGATCATCACGAGCACCATCAGGTTTGTTTCAGAATGGATTTTTCTGATTGAAAGACTTCAAAAAATATTTTAAGCAGCTTGAAAAGTCGTCCTTTTCAGAACTAAAGAGTGGCTTTGGAGCTCAGTTTTATCAGATTTTCATTGATTTTCGAGAAATGGACAGGCTACAGTTGAAAAAACTGTTTGAAAACCCGATTCGTTGGCCCCCTTATAAGACTGTTCGCACTTTAAAAATGTCACAACATTATTTTGTACAAAATCCGACTTCCTGAATGTTATGAAACTTCCATGTCACTCAAAAGTTTTGAGAAAAAAATAGCCACCCATCACCTGAAGTTTTCTCCATGGCAGCTGTGAAAATAAGATGGGAAAAATTTTGGTTTTTGAGGTAAATTTGATATTTTTGTTGAAATTTGGAAAATTCTTTCACAAAATTTTGGTTTAGGGGTGTTTATGAAGCTGAATAGGAAAAAAATTAGAAGTTGCCTAGGCTGCATTTTTGGAGAGAATAATCTTTTTCAAGTGGTGTATTTAGAAGAAAACGGCTTTTTTTCCAAGTTTAACGTGAATTTTTTTAGAAATCCAATAATTTCTGTACTTTGGCTGCAAATTGTATCGTATCATAGAATTATGGGTTTCATTCAGCAGTACTCGATGGCTTGAAGCTTAAGTCGTTTCTGGTCGGGCGCAAAAAAAAACGGTCTTCATTTGATGAATTTAGTACAATTTCAAGAACTTTAACTTTATTTTCAAACTTGTTTTTCTTTTTCAGGTTTCGAAGCTCTTGAATAATTTTTTTATAAAAAAATGATAAGCCTGGGAAAAATTTTTTTAGTGGCCACTATAGGGGCTCGCCACGGAATACTTGGAGAGGACACTAAAGTGGCCACTAAGCCCACCTCTATAGTGGCCATTATTTTCCGTTTTAGTGGCCACTTCAGTAGTTTTTCATCTAGTATTCCGTCCAGTAACTCTGACAATTTTAAAACAAACTGATTGGACCAGTTATGTTGATCCATTGACCCCTAAAGGGGCTACTTAAGTGGTCTATTAG